AAGACCGGGGGAGGGGCGGGGCCACACGGTCCCAGACCTGGGCTGGCCAACAGCTTGGCTTCCTTCCTGGCATAAAGGGCTCCACCAGTTCCCAAACAGAAGACAAATAGGGTCAAAGGTGCAAATATCTCTTCTGGAACCTTCCCAGAAAGACCAAAGAGAGGGGCAGCCCAGAGCCACCAGGAGAGAGACAAGGCCTCAGCTTCCCCTGCTCCCTGCTCCGTACCGTGTGCCTGCATCAGGGCCACCCCGAGCGGCACCAGGATGCTGCGGTCCACAGGGCAGATGGGTCCCGGCAGCTCCCACACGTCAGGGGTACATCCCACACCCATGGAGACAGCTGTTCACTGCAGGCAGGCAGGCGGCAGGGGGCCACGGAACACTTGGGGGATGTGTCTTGGGACGAAGCCCACAGCTGATTATTCCCCTGGCCTTATCGCAAACGCCCTGAGCACCTGCCACCTGCCACGCGACCTGCAGAAACCGGTTCACCTGCTTTGCCCTGGAGCCGGTGTACACACAGCACGGATGAGGCACTGGCATATTAAACATGAGCCGGACACAAGCAAACAAGGATCATTTTTCTCCCACAGAACAGCTGCTGCTAACACACCTCAGGCGAAAGGCCAGTTCCCTCTACTTTCCAGAACCCGGCAAGCCCACCAGTTTTTTGGGGGAGCCCCAGCTTTACAGTACAAAGGGTGGTGCAAATCCCGCAGGCAGCCTGGACTGGGAGTCCCGTTCTTGGGGCAGTCGGGTGTCCTCCGCCTCATCGTCCAGATAAGAACCCCAAGGGCTGATATGACCCCTCTCTCAGTGGTATTTGACTCCATGGGGTCATTACAGAAGAGAACTGCATTTGCCGCTCATAGAGCACACCCAGGATTCACATGGGAAGGCTGTGGCCCGAGGGCAGGGCCCCTGTGCAGAAGTCAGGACAAGAAACCAACTTGCGCCCAATGCAAAGGAGCAGAGTTGAGAGCATAAATCCTCGTGCTGGCGCCTTGGAGCAGCTGCTGTAAGTGAAGGCCTTTGAGAGGCTGTGCCTGCTCCAGAAACGGGCTGCTTCGCTGTGGCTCTCCCTCTCCCAGCTGTCCCTTCCATTGCCGCCCGCTCCCCGGAGAGGCCCAAAGCCTCTGCCTCTCGAGGGAGAGACCGTCTCCGTTTGTGCCCCATGACGGCAAATACCAAAACACTACCTTTCCCTCAAAGAGTCGGGGAAGTAGGGACTGGGAGACGGAACTAACCTTAAACATGACATGGAAGGGCTAACCCCAAAAGGCAAGGAAGGGGGTGAACCCAGCCAGGAGGCCGCCAACCAGCTCAAGAGCAGGTGCAGGGCACCCGACTTCGATCTCATGCCTGTAAACTTCAATCCAGAGAGGTTCTCCTGCCTGGAATAATTAAGAAGCCACTAATGTACTATGAAATAAAAACCAGCTCTGGGGGGGAAAATGTACTGACAACTCCCCTGAAAAGCAACGCAATTGATCTTGCTTAGGGAAAGCATTTTATTTACAGAAATTGAAAAGCAAAAGGGTGTCAAATGACATCTGTTACGTACACCCTTTGCCCCAATTCCAGAACTCCAGAGAGTGTAACGACCAGTTCATTAGACAACTGAATTCAGGATCACTCAAGTGTGGAAAGCCAGCACATAAACCAAAGTGTGCAAGCTAGGGCAGACACCGGCTGGTGTACACATATCAGGGTGGTTTCTGCAGTGGCCAGTCTGGACAGAGCATGGAAGGATAGGGCCGCATCTCGGTACCGCCGTTGGGGGGGCTCCATGCAGCTCATACCTTGTGTACATCCGCTTTAGACACCCAGACTGCCTGCCTGCAGCTCGGCTAGACAGGGTGCGCCGTTCAGACTGGATGGCGGCTCGGGCTCCAGTCCTGGTGCTGCCGGTGACTGATGCTACTGAGGACAAGTCTCCCCTCTTTGAGGATGGCTGTGTTAGTTCAGAAGATCTAGGGCATGCGTCAGATCAGATATCACCAGTAACAAATAGATTTACTAGAGATGCAAGACCAGGTGCCCAAAGGATGCACAGGTGATGTATGGCATTAAAAAACACCACCACTGAAGTGAAAGGGGAAAGATTCCCTACACCATTTCCCCAAATTTAGGGAGAAGGAAAGACTGCGGGCTTCTGCTTGCTTTTCTGTGCACTGCGCTCATCAACCGTTCACAGGTATAACACATACACACTAGAATGATGTTCAGTACAAAGCACACCAGTAAGATCGACCTTCACGTGCTTCATGGCCAAGCTTGCCCGCACTGCTCTGCTGTATGAAACCAAGCGCCTAATAGTACAAGAGAACATTCAGGCTTGTGAAAAAATCAGGGTCCCTCAGCTGGCTCAGAGTGACAGGGAGAGGTACAATCTCTGCTAGAGATGTGTTCCAGGCAACCCGGTCACCGTGGTCCCTGGAATGATCCACAGGGACCAGTCCACAGCAAAGTTACAAAGATAAGAATGAATATAGGTGAAGGTTGAGTCCCACTTCTGTTTATGATCAGCTTTCCACCTGATGGACCGCACGCACAAAGAATCAAAAAACAAAACCTACATGTTTTCACTGTCTAGTTAAATGTGAAAAGCCCAAATGATGTTCATAAGTAATAACGAAAAAAAATAGCAATGTGCTAGTACTACATACTTTAGATAATTGTTGCAGCAGGCCTTTGAGGTAGGCAGTATTGTCTCCATTTTAAAGGTGGAGAAACTAAAGCACAGATGCATTAAGTCATTACTAATGCCAGGGTTGGCATTTGAACCCAGCGGTCCACTTTGGAAGCTGTGTTTTTAACCATTGCACCAAGCTCCCCGAAACCAAGGCAGAGAGACCTATGCAAGTAAACAGGTCCTGCAAACCCAGTGGCATGTCTTCTCACATGCTGTCATACTGAGGTCTGGGAGACTCCGTGCGGATCAGAGGGGACTGATATTAGCAGCTAGTGGTGGCATGGTTTCAGCCCCACGCCCTTGCATTTTTATGAATCCCTTGATAGAGTCAACCATGTTGTCTTGTCTGCAAATGGGAGAGCAGGAAGAATGTGTGTGTGTGTGTGTGTGTGTGTGTGTGTGTGTGTGTGTGTGTGTGTGAGTGAGAGAGAGAGAGAGAGGAGCTGTTACAGGATGGGAAACAGTGTGGCACAGTGGTTTCTTGGAGCTGCGCATCCCGGGTCTCTAGAATGTCACTCTTAGCCGCATGCACCTGGGGGAATTGCTTCTCTAATCTTTAGCGTTCCCATCTGTAAAATGAGGATAACCTCAGTCCAGATTTTACAGGTTTGGTGGGTTATGTGAATTCATACATGACAATCAGAAGTTATTTACACAACAACCATCACGTCTGGAGGAATTAAAAATTCCACTGATAGGAACTTCAGCCATGTTCTGAGACGGTTCACCACAAACCCTCCACAAGCCAACAAGTGCTACAGAAAACACAGCAACTGCGCCCGGCAGCTGATGAGCCTTCCAAAATACAGTGGACAGCGCCAGCGAACTCGAGTTCCTCGCTTTAATAATCCCTCCTTTGCAAAAACTTTCACGTTCTTAAAAGGGTTTAATACTCACTAATGAAATGTGTATGTTTTTAATGAGGAATTTCTAAAACCAACACATGCATTTTTTAATTCTCAGGCTAGCCGGGAACAGACTGGGAAGGGAATTCTCGAATCTGGGCCTCGCACCATGTGCTCCATCACATGGCCATTTTGAGAACCATTTCCCTCTTCTTTCGGTATCCAAGAATTGCTGACTACGGCTGGTGGAGAAAGGCCTGCAGGACCGGGCACAGGGGCTCGGATGACCTCGAGCGGGCAGCAAACTTCACAGGGAGGAAAGGGATCCCATCGTGACGTTTTCTATTTCTGAATAGAACCTGAGCTAGATTGTGGCCAACATATGACACCAACTTCCAAGTGGGGGAAAAACAGGATTTCAAGATTCAACCACTTCTGGCAGGGTTCCCTAGGGTTATATTTAGCAACCTTAAATTGCGTATTTTTTGCCTTCCTATTCCATTTTCTTTTCTTTTCTTTTTTTGAGTGAAGAACAAGAGGGAAGAGCCCAGGCCTAGAGGAAATGAGTTTCCTGACACGAGGTTCTCGAACAGCCAGACCACCGGCCCTAAGGCCCACGAACGGAAAGAGCACGCGTGCTGCTGGGGAGAAAGCACACTTTGGGGGGCTCCGTCGGCATTCGGCGGCCCCCACAAGTTGGCATTCGCGTGCTCTGGCGACCCAGCCAGACAAAGACCTAAGTTCTCCGGTCCTGGCTCCAGACAGGGGACACCGAGTCTCCCCGATTTGGATGCATTCCCTGCCCGGGACGCGCGCACCCGCAGCGGAGGGGTCCCCAGGGCGCTCCCTGCCGGATCCGCGGCCCCCGCGCAGCCCCTCCCGCCCGGGCCGCGCACTTCTCGGGGCTGCGGCCGGACCCCGGCCCCTCCCGGCCCCGCCGCTGCAGGCACACACGCCCCGCGGGCCCCGGCCCCGTTCCCGCCGAGGGGGCGCCGCTTGGTGCCCCGCGAGCCCCTCAGACCCCGCCCCCGCAGCCCCCGGCCGGGCCCAGATACCCACCCGGGTCCCGCAGCGGGGGCCGGATTCGCGCAGGCTCCTGGGCCGCCGCCGCCGCCGCCGCCGCCAGTGAGGCGCGGCGGGGCGGGGACGCGCGGAGAGGCCCGGCCCCCGGCCCGCCCCCCGGTCCTCCCAGTCCCTCCGGGCCGAGGTACCGGGCCAACCCGCCCCGGCCGTCTTCCAGGCCCAGCCTGCACTCCCCACCCGGCCCCCGACCAGCTCCCCAGCCCCTCCACCGGGGCCCCAGGTCCCGCCGCCCGGGGATTCTGCCCCGGACGGGAGCCCCGTGCCCCCCGAATGAAGGCCGGGCCCCAAGGACGCTCCACGTGCGCGTTCGTCCGCTCCGTCCAGCCCTCTGCATTTAGGTTTTTCCTTTTTTGGGGTAGGAAGGGAACAACACCCACCACAAGGCCCTTGGGCTTCCCTCCTCCGCTCAGGATCCTTCGCAGGACCCCTGCGGAGGGGACGCCGAGCCCCCCAGGTCTGGCAATGGATGGGTGGGCACCAGGGTAGGGTCCCCGGCGCCCCGAAGCTGCAGCCGGCTCCGGAGCCCCTCGCGCCCCCCTCTCCGCCTGCCACGCTCGGGGCACTTAGCGGTCCCAGGTCCTCGGGTGCCCGGCGCGGTCCCCTGGGACATCGGAGTTGCTCGGCTGGACGCACACTTGACACGGTTGTCGCTTTACAGAAGCTGAGCCAGGCGGGGGAGAGCTCGGGCTCAGAAATGGATCTGGAGAAAATACATATTAATCCTGTAGTCCGTTTACATACGTAGGTTTTCTGTGTTTCCAGGGCGCAGAACTGGCACAAGGCAGCGGCGCCCGGGCCGCCCCGCCCTCCCGCGTTGGTCCCCGCCGCCGGATGTTGACGGCGTCGCCTAGCAACCAGAGATGGAGCCGGGCGGCGGGGCTGGCGGGTAAGCGGGCGAGGGACGGGGACTCGCAGCGGCCCGCACCCCCCGCCGTCGCCCTGGGCGCCCCTTCCCCTCAGGCGCCTTTCCTCTCCCTCGCCCCCGCCCCCGCGCTCTAGGCCGTGCGCGCTGCCCGGCACCTCTCCGCGGCGCGCCCCTCTCCTCACCTCGCGTCCCTTTGTCCTCTCCCGCCCTCTCCCTCTGTCCCCTCGCTCCCGCGCTCCACTCTCTGAAACCCGGCCCGCAGCCCCGCGGTAACCATAGCAACTATACAGGGTTGGCCCTCCCCGCCGCGGGGCGCAGAGCGGGGGTCTCCCCAGGCTAGGTCCGCTGGGTCGTCCCTGCCGCGGCCTGGGCGCCGCCGGAGACCCGCCACCCGCACGCTCTCCTGGCTTGGGGCGGGGGGAGGCCCGGGCCAGGGGTCCCCGCGGCCAGGAAGCCCTGCGTGATTGTCCCCAGCGTACAGGAGGGCTGGTAGTCCGGAAAGATCCTGCCACTTGGCCTCTGCTCTCTTGTGATCCGTTTTTTTTTTTAAACGCTAGAAACTATTTGAAAGAATTTGACCTTTACCTGAGATGCTTCTGTATTGTTTCTTTTTTCTTTTTTTTTTTAAAGGTAGGTCTATAGGAGGGACATGAAAAGTCCAAGTTCCATTAAATGAAAAGACTGAATGGAAAACAGTGTGTAAAGTGTGGTCTCTAATTGGGGGTGGGGGGGGGTGTTTAAAGGCACAGAAAATATTTGAAAGAATATACCCTTAAATCTCCTCCTATTATCAGTGGTTATCTTGAGAAGGGGAGGGAAAGTCACAGGGGAATGTCTATGTCACACATTTCTGTATCAGTTTGACTTTTTTTTTAAATTAGCCTGTATTTTAATTAGAAAAAAAAATTTAAGAATGTAAATCATGATATTCTTGCACTATGTAAATCATGGAGAAACTAACCCAAGAGTTTCTAGAATATTTGTCCTCTCTGCAACTTTCTCTCACTCTATTTCCTTTCCCCAGATTAGTTACAGACACAAGTATATTTACGGTAGCTTTTCTGTCCTGATGTACTTGTGCTGTGGCTTTCATGTTTCAATAATTTTATTTTTCATTCATTCATAGAGCAACTCTTGGTGGCCCTCCCGCCACATGCCAGGCATGATCTAGTGCTGGGGTTAGTGACACAGTACAGTCATGCTGGTGGCCTAGGAGGGAGGCAGACCAATAGCAAATAAACAGATTGTATACAGACCTCAGGGAGGTGAGGAGGCCAAGAAAAAGAATGCTCTCCTTTGAAACTGCTACATTATTTCTGTGCAACCAGGTCCCCCCTGCAAGACAGATGGACTTCTGAAGGGGAGGAAGAACAGAACAGAGGGGACACCCAGGACAATGAAGGCGACAGGGTAAAGCTTCCATTCCGGGCTTGTACTTACTAAGAGTTAAAAGAGAATTAAGACTTCCTCAGGGTGACCCTATGACCTTGTACGAGAACAGACTCAATTCTGTTGCAGAGAAACTCATTTTCCTTCTAGCCCATTCTGAGGTGCTGGTGGCTAGTCAGGAATGCCACAGAGACCCTGCTCTTAGATCCCCTGAGTTTTCCATGACTCATTTCCTGTAACAAAGGAGGCAAAATAGTTACAAAACGGAAAAAAAAAAAAAGCAAAGCCCAGGTAAATTAAAACATGAAACAATCTCTCAGCAACTCAGAAGTGTACAGAAGCAGTTTCCCCATTGGTATAATTAGACTATTAAGAAAACCTCACAAGAGCTTTACTCTCGTGTCCTGATTTCTTCCCGCCACATGGCTACAGGTGCCACCCACAGAGGACAGCAGCGACAGGAACAATGACGAAGCTGTTGGGGCCACACAGCATTCTGAGGGGGAAGTCGCAACAAACGATGGGGAAGAGGGAGACATCACAGCTGAAGGAGAAATGCCAATTCAAGACATGGAAAATGACTGGGAAGAGGCTACGAGAGAGGAGGCCAAATCTGAAGGGGAAATGGAGTCTGAGATGAAATCCACGTCTCCTGAAGGACAAGTCAGTTCTGTTGAACCGGCTTCTACAGACGTCAGTCCTGGGGAAGAGCCCGGAGACTTGAGCCCCGCATACTCGGATGAGAGGGTTGGGCTTGCAGGCGGAGAGGCCCCCCATCCGTCCGAATTCAGAGGGGCCGGGGTCAGCCCCACTGAGCCGTCCCAGCAAGGATCAGACTCCTCTGAGCACATGGGCCAGGATGCTTCCGGAGCCAGCACCGGCGAATCGGTGAGCAGTGCTGGGGTTTGTTTTACTGCCCATGGGCTTGTCACCCTAGGGAGGAACGCAGGGCGGCTAGACATATGAATGGGGATCCCTGTTAGAACTTGCTTAGCACACGGAGGTCCCAGGATCCACTACTGAATGCCAGGGTTTCCTGGACCCGCCTTCGGTGGTCCCAGACCCAAGGCTGGGGGCATTCCACGTGGGGGCATCCAGGTTTCTAGTCTAGAGCTGGGAATGCCCTTCATCTGCACTGTCCAGCATGGTAGGTGTTCGTCACATGGGCTACAAGCACAGGGAGGTGGGGGAGCTGGGTTTTTTATTTTTAAGATTCTAATTAAATTTATATAAGCACCTGTTGCTACTGGCTACCCTATTGGACAGGGCAATTCTAGATAATAATGATTATAATGACAATAGTTATGTTCTTATAATTTTCTTTTTTTGATTTTTAAACAAGCACAGACTTACAGAAAAGTTGAAGTATAAGAGGTTTTTTTTTTTCTAATTTTTTTAAGCCTGGTGAGCAGGCTGCCAATCTGATGCTCCCCGGCCTTCAGACTCTTCAGTGCGCTTCCCACAAACAACCACAATGTAACTGCCAAAATCAGGACATTTCATTACAGCACCAAATAACCCTCAGGCCTCATTCATCAAATGTCCCAACAGCATCTTTTAGAGCAGAGGTCCAGTTCAGGTCACGTGTCGCCTTTAGTCCTAATCTCTCCTTGACTTTGATGACCTGGTGCTCTGAGAGGTCACAGGCCGTGTTGTGGAATGTCCCTCGGTTTGCTCTGCCAGGGGTTTCCTCACGATGCACTTTGGGTTCCCATCCTTTGCCAAAGGTGTCTCAGAAGGCTGCAGGTGCTCCTGGTGTCCTATCAGGTGGCACCTGATTTCACTTTGTCCCACTTACCAGTGATCTCAGTATGGATCGCTTCACGAAAGAAAAAAGGGCCATCCTTCTCTGTGAAGCACCCTTTACCCCTTCACATTTAAAAAAATTTGCGTGGGATGGTGCTTTTTTTGTTTGTTTCAAATGGGAGGGGAAAATCACAACAGATTAGCACCAGTTTTTTTTTTAGGACTTCTTAGTTCTCTCAGCAATGTGTGCGGGCATCGGCCATCTTTTGTCAGATTCATCCCTAACTATTTTGCTTTTTCCAGTTGCTTGTTACTACCCTGTACAGAGAAATACAACTGATTTTTGTATTTGGTCTTATATTTGTCAACCTTGCTAAGTGCCCGTGTTAATTCTAATAGCATTTCTTGTAGAACCCATAGGATTTTTCAAAGACGACCTTCCTGTCTGTGAATAAAGGCAGCTTAACTTCCTTTGCAACCTGGATTTTCTCTATTTCTTTTTCTTGCCTGATTACGCAGACTAGACCCCGCAGTATAATGCTGAGGGGAAGTGGTGAGAGCGGACGTCCTTGTCTTCTTGTTCCAGCTGGTAGAGGGGGGCTTCTAGCCTTAAGTATGATGGTGGCTGTGGGTTTCTGTAATGCCTTTTGTCAGGTTCCTTCTGTTCCTAGTTCTTTTTGTTTCTTTTTTAACTCTTTTTAATCATGAAAGGATGTTGGCTTTTGTCAAAGGCAACGTCTGTGTCTATTGAGATGATTGTATGTTTTTTCTTTTTTAGTTTGGTAATTTGGTGGTTACATTGATTGGTTTTCAATATTAAAGTAAATCTGCATTCGGAGATAAACATGGAGAGGATATTTGAAGCCATGGAATGTCCCATTCCTCATTAAATTTTCAGTTCATTCATATACTAGCTTCTATCTATGGATTCATGATGTCCCATTTCATTTGCTAGATTAGAATCATTACTGTCATTTATACTGAGGCTCAAATCGTCCCCAATTTGGCCAGCGAGAGCCCATTTAAATTGGCCTTGTGTCCTTCTGACACACACACGTCAGCCTTTCTTTCCTTGTTTTTGGCTGCCATCGTTCCTTGAGCACTTTCTTGTTGTCTGGCACAGACCCCCCTGCACCAGAATCAGACATTCCCCGGGAGCTGGTTGCTTTTCATGGAAAATAAAATGTAGAAGTTAAGATTTGGGTGTTAGGTGTTCTGAGTGCCACTGGGGATTCACTGTCCCCAGGCCCTCGCAGTACACGGCACACACACACATGGAGCTCATCACATCAACACCTCTCTAACTCCAAGCCACTGCAGGGCCCTCCCGGTTCTCAACCCTTCCATGTTGTAATTCTGTTTGCAACAGTGAGAATCCTGGTCCTCATTATCCTTAATACAGTTATTAATTCGATCCATCCCCTGGATGCAAACCACACGGCACTTTCCCAGCCCCTAGTGACCCTCCTCACACCACTTCTCATCAGGCAGGAGCTGGGCTTTCAACTCCAGGCTTCTGTGATGTCACTGTGGGTCTGGATGCTTCCAAATTCATTTCTAGAGTCGGCATCGTCTGAGAAGGTCCAGCCCAAACGTGAACCTGCTGTTGGCGGGCCATGTGACTGTCAGGCAGTCTTAGCTTTGTGAGGCTGCTTCCCCTGCAGATAACAGACCCGTCTGTGCCAGCAGAGGTGTTGTACGGGGTCATTGTCTGCTGGTGGTAATAGTCACCAGTTCATCCTCAACAATGATTATTGCCAACAATACCTGCAAGAATCTGTTTTAAAGCTAAAATGGAGCCAGGCATTCTTATCAAAGGAAAATATTTTCCTATCAAAATATTCTTAAAGTGTTATGGTTTGACGAAGAAACTGCCCTCTTGGGGCTTGCCCGGGGCTGAGGCTTTGTAGCGCCCTTTTGTAAAGGGGATGCCCAGAGATGGCGCTCACCATCCATGGGGAGATAAGCATTTGGGAGTAAAGGAGCCCATGTCCGACACAGACCTGTGCCTCAGCGTTTACACTTGCTACAGATCTAGACGGTCAGAGACCACTCCTGGATGCCTCGTGGGGTAGGGGTAGATATTTTCCCGTTTGACCATTTGCAAAGGCCAGATAACCTTTATGTCTAAATGACTTTCTCCTGCTTTGCTGTTCTTGCTCTAGAAGAAATCCCACGAAGAGCTCCAGCGGAAGGCTTTTCCTTTGGGGACACAAGACCACCTCAGACTGAGCCAGGGGAGCAGCATCTCACCCCTGGGCTCCGATGAGCCAGGTACCCGGCACCTGCCAGGGCTGCAGTACCCACGCGATGAGCCCCTGCCTGTCCCCTTCTGCGCAAGGGATGGCATGCATTGGCCACCTGTTATCTAGTTTCCTGTTCAGCTGTGAGCCTAAAAGCAAAAATATTTCTGGCAGCTACGGGTAACATTTATGAGCATTTATACTCTTTTATCTCATTTAATGTTTACACTAACCTGATGAGCTAGGAACCATTCTCCATTTCACAATGTCCCTAAGAGTCATGAAATAACGACCTGGACTGAAAGCGGATGACGGACCCACCCAGGGCCCCTGACCACGCCTCACTGCCTCCCAGCATCCCAGAAGGGACAGCCCTGCAAACGTGCGCCTGTCTGCTGAGTTTCCAAGGCTGTCCCAGCACAGCCCTCCTTTCCACTGGGCCCTGGGCCCTAGCGCTGTGCACATGGGAAAGCAGGCAGACGTTTCCTCCTGCACGCACACCGAGTCCACCGACAGCCCGGCTAGCAGAGCCTCCCGCCTCTCCCAGGGGCATGAGGGCAGCACCCAGCTAGGCGGGGTGCACAGAGGGCAGGACCGCTCCAGCTCGGGCAGGTGGGAAGGCTGAACCCGGAGCCTCACTGATACTGCTGGTCAGGCTTATCAGCTGTTTCCCATCTAGAAAACAGCCAGCCCAGTCCAGAAGCAAGAAGCCACTTTTCTTTATGTATAAAAAAGTATCTATAAAATATATTGCCTTCTTGTCTACCTCTAAAATGCAATCCTTTATAGAGAATAAGTTGAATCACCGACAGAAGAACCATGAACGTAAGACCCTGTAACCGGCACTTCCGAATGCTTTTCCATCAGGCTGCGTGGGTTGGCTGACGACTCCCCCCGAGTGGTATTATCAGCATCTGCTAAGTCCCCAGTGATGCCTGCTGTCCCCCCAGGCGCCCCCCCGGAGGAGCCCGATGCCCACCCCAGGGAGGCAGCTCTGCCTGTGTTCCTGGACAGGATCCAGCAGTCAAGCCCGGCCGAGGACGGGGTGGCGGACGGGGTGCAGTCCGAAGGGAGTGAGGAAGCTGAGGAAGACGGATCCCGGCTGGTGGTTTTGGACCCGGACCACGTAAGAGCAGATTCTCAGGCTGTGCATTTCCCTGCACAGGTGAAGTGACTTAGAGATGCGCTCTGGCCTGCTGCGTAGGCCCTGCTCTGCCCTCTGCCCCCTGGCCCTCCCCCAAACGCTGCGCCGTCTCGCGGGCTCACTCACCGCTCTGCTGCTTTGTAAAGCAAGGCTCCCTTTGGGCCATACCCCGAGGTCCGCGTTTCTTGGCCCCTGCCCTGCTGACGTCTAGGCCAGATGCCCTCCTCGGGGGCCGGCCCTGGGCGCTGGAGGAGGATAACGCATCCCTGGCCTCCACCCACCCGATGCCAGTAGTTCCCCTTAGTTGTGACAGCCAGAAACGTCTCCGGACATTGTCAGGCGTTGGGCGTTGGATGGGGGCAAAACTGCGCCCGCCTGAGAGCCACTGCCCTGAGTGTACCCACCTGGTTATGAATCCCTCTGCCCCACCCGTCTGGCAGGTGGGGAAGGCAGATCTTGATTGGATGAACCCGCTGGGACAGCTGGGTCTCCAGCACTGTGGGGAGGATTGGGGGCTGAGCGCTCCTCCAGGGCTGGCAGCTCAGGCGCTGCTCAGCAGCCCCCTCGGCCCCGTGGGGCAACGAGGCCCACGTCCAGGCGGAGAATCCCGAGCAGAGGCGGGGGGCACCCGGCACCGAGGCCGTCCCTGCCGCCCCGGGGACAGCCGTGGGTGGGACCTCTGGCTGGACGGGCAGGCCTGTAACCGGATGTGTTTGCACTGTTCTAGCCCCTGATGATGAGATTCCAGGCCGCCCTGAAGAGCTACCTTGGCCGGCAGATAGAGAAGCTGCAGCTGGAGCTCCAGGAGCTGGTGCGCCCCCGGCAGGGCAGCCTTCCCCCGCCGCGCGCCCGCCCGCGCTCCGCGTGACCCGGCCTCTCTCTCCGGTGCAGGGCGTGGCCGCCAAGCAAAGCCGCGTCCAGAGGCAGGAGCTGGGCGTGCATCTCTACGGGGTCCAGCAGCACCTGGCCCGCCTGCAGATGCAGCTCGAGAAGTGCCACGACCGCCACTCGACCGTGGCGCGCGCGCGGCGGCAGAAAGAGGAGGAGCTGCAGGGCGCGCGCGCGCTCCACACCGAGACCCGCGCGGCCGCCGACGCCGAGCGCAAGAAGCGTAAGGCGCCCCCTCGAGCCCTGGCGCCCCGGAGGGGCTTCCCGCGTGCCATGCTGGCCCCGAGGGCTATCGCGGCCTAGTGGGGCACCCCTGCGTGCCATCGCGACCCGGTGGGGCAGCCCGCATGCCATCTCGGCCTAATGGGGCATCCCTTCGTGCCACCACCACCTAGTGGGGCATCCTGTGTACCATCGCGACCTGGTGGGTGGCGGTCCCTCATGCCATCGTGGCTCCAAGGGCCATCTCGGCTTAGCGGGGCGTCCCTTTGTGCCATCACCACCCAGTGGGGCATCCCCGCAGACCTTCGCATTCCAGAGGCGCATCCCCACATATTGTTGAGACCCGGTGGGGTGCCCCCCTTTGAGTAAAGCAAGATGTGCCCTGTCCTAGGGGTTCCAGGCTTCTCAGGGAAGGAAGGCAGAAAAGTCTTAAAAGGTCCTGGGTAGGCAGAGAGGCAGAGCTGGAGGCCGACCGTGGGGAAACCCAGGCAAACGGGTTGGGGCTGGGGGACAGCAGTGGTTCAGAAGTAGGCGTGTCCAGAAGCCCAGCCAAGAGGGGAGTGTGCCTGGGCTCTGGTGGCAGATTGGGGGGAAACCGGGTGGCTTTGGACCAGATGAGACGGCAGGGCCATGACCCGCGCCGTACTCCATTCCTGGGGAAACACACCCCTGCACAGAGCAGAGGTCGTGGGTCACAGGGAACAGTGGCTTCCTCAAGACACTGCAGATTATTTTAGTCTTTGTGCTGTTAGATTTCCAACTTCATCGACTCCATGTCACCGTTGCGGTGGGGAAGGTGACCTAACAGAATCGGAGGGGAGCAGTCACATGCATATCCCAACCGTGGCTGGAAAGGAATGTTTGGGGCCCTAAGAAAGGCAGGAGAGTTTTCAGATTGCAGAGGGGGGGTAAGTGCTCATTAATTAAGCGCCTCTCCCTGATTACCTCCAAATTAACTGAAGACACCAAAAAGAGAAGACTGTGACATTCATGCTGAGGAAGAGCCGCACCCTCCAGATTTAACAGAATGTAGACCAACCTGAGAGAGGACGCGGTCTGCCACCCCCGGCCCCACCCCCTCCACTCACGGGAGAGAGTGCCCACCAGCACCCCGCCGGGGAGGCTCTTCTGGAAAAATCCCAACAGCTTCATGGCCTTTGTGTCCTTCCTGGAGGTCACCAGGGAGCAGGATCAGAACCTGTTTGACCAAGCACAGCATCTCCCTTTCAACACCAACGGATTCGGGCAACTGTGCCAGTCCTGCCCGCCAGCTCCCGGCACTGCACTGTCCCCTAGGTGACCACTGGAGAGCACCCACTGCGGCCCACCTCACCTGGGAGGGAGGTGACACCCACCAGTACTAACTCTACACGTCAGAATGTGGGTCATGAGCGGCAGTCCACAGACAGCCGAGGGCACGGCTGGACAGACAGCAGACACCTACACAGACACAGCCTGACTCCACACCCCGAGGAGAGCGTGAGCCTGCACCAGTTGCTATCCTGCATGAGATTTTAGAGGATGTCGTGTCAGTGAAATGAGAGCAACCTATTAGGGAAAAGGATGCTTGGAAGTTAAAAATATAATCACCACTGTAAAAAAGGCATTAACCAAATAGACAAATCAACCCTGCTGAACACTGAACTTGTAAACTAAAAGACCAGTGTGAGGAATTCTCCCCAGAATTCAGAACATAAGCGCAAAGCACAGGACATTCTGAGGAGGAGATAAAAGCCCTGGATGAGAAATCTGGGAAAGTCAGTATCCATGGGGTTTTGCCAATACCCCTGGACGGAAACAGGAGACGGGGGCATTACCAGTGGCCTTGGAGGAAAACATTTGCAGGAGGTCAGGAAGGACGAGCCTTCAGATGTAAAGACTCCTGGAGGGCCAGACAGAGGAAAAAATAAGCACGCCTAGACAAAGCTGGTGAGGTGTTTAAGACCTAGAGGTAAAGGACAATGGTTATTGGAGTATCTGCGGGACAAAACCAGATTCCAGCAGGAAGAAAGTGGCCGGCCCGCCCAGGGTGGTTCTTCAGTTCTGATCTCAACCCCCTGCACCTTATAGGAACCTGCAGGGTGCTGCGAGTCCCCTGGGGCCCAGCACCGCCCAGATTTCCAATCTGTTTGTTCTGGGAGAGGCTGGGCATCATTTGTTTCTTGTATTATTATTTTTTAAACCTTCCAGGTGATTCTAATGTGCATCCAGGGCTGAGAATCATAAATCTTAAATATAAATGACAGTGTAGGGATGGCTTCAGAGTTTAAGGGAAATGAATAAAAAAAGAATCCAACCTACATGGAAATTACAAACTATTTAGGAATTAATGACAAAGAGAGTCCACGTACCAAAATCTCTGGGGGCAGCCCAAAATGCTCAGATTAAACCCACGACCTTGTGTAGTTGTATCTACGTTTCCATTAACACAATTGAAAATAAAACATTTTATTCAAGAAGCTAAAAAAGGGCAAATAAACCAAAAGAAGTAGGAAGAGGATATTAATAAAGTTGAAAAGCAGAAAATAAAAAATCGAAAATACATCGACCTGGTAGATAAACACTTCAAGTCTGAAATAACCAATGATCTTAATTAACCTCTGGCATGTCGGACAAGGAATGAAAAGGATGTAACACAAGCAACAGTATGGGGATTGAGGACAGTTCAGAGAAACCACCTTTTATTTCAAGAAAGCCATGCATTGCACTGATTTCATCACTGAAGAGACTGAAAATGTCAAAAATATATTTTCCCTAAAAGCACTAGTATTTGAAGATTTTACAATACAGTCCTACTAACCCCAAAAGAAACAGACATACCCCCTGTCAGTCAGCCAGCCAGTGGGTAAGAAGCTTGGGAAAACTTCCCAGGCTTGTTTCACAGCACTTAGTGGAACCTTCACTGCAAAAGCTGGCAATGCGCAAAAACAGAGAACCGGAACGCCGTCCTGCTTACGAGGTGTGAAAATCCTAAATAAAATATTTAACATATTGGGTTCAGCAATCTTCAAATGAAAAGAAAAACACCTGTATTCAAAGAAAACAGAAGGGTTTACTTCAGGAGCAATTTAAAATGAAGACATCTACTAATTCAAGGAATTACACTGATAAGTTAAACGGAGACTAAACAGAAAAAAAAGATTTTCTGGGTGGATGCCAAATGGGTGATTGATAAGACTCATCGTTCATCCTAAGCTAGGGTAAAAAAGAAGTTCTTCATAAGTATTTATCAAGAACAAGAAAATTTTGCTCAGGGAAAAGCGCCAGAGAAATGACAGTTAAAATGAGGAGTAATATAGGGATGCCTGTTGGCACGCTGTCCGCACACGCGGTCTCAGGGGCTCCAAATGCAAGATAGATGAGGTATGGGTTTTGCATACGAAATGACCAAATTCTCATTCTTTCCCAATGGTATGATTGTTTGCCTGGAAGATTCAAGATTACTGGTGAAAAAAAGCTAACAGATCCATAAGGCAACTGAGGACCAGCTCTATGGTTTCCTTCTATACCAGTAACATCAGTTAGGAAATATAATATTTAAAAATTCCTCATCCATGATGGCTGTAACAACCGTGTAATACCTAGGAATAAATCTAACAAGGAGCGAGATTATCTGAAGAAAAACAATAAAATTTTATAAAACAATGCAAAACAAATTTAAATAAATACAGTTCCCATGTTACCTGATGCAAACATGCACAGTATAGAAGAAGTGTGCTTGCTCCGCGTGAATAAATCCTCCAGCACAAACTCCACTGGAAATCCACGACTGGATGTTTTGGGTGAACTTAAATTTATTTAGCTTGTTTTTACTCATTTTCAAGAAGAATCATGCAAAATTCAAGAGCTTTGGAGTGTAAAGTCTCCCCCTGCCCGGCTCCCAGTCCAACAGAGGTGCCTGTGGTGTAGGCTCTTGTGAGCTCTTCTGAAGGTATTTTCACGTAGACAAGCAAAGGTCCAAGGGTGCATGTATAAATACACTTTCTTTTTTTTTAATGCATGTAGCTGCATATTCCCCCTGCCACACTGTCCCTTATTCACTTTCACAAATGTACACTGGAGATGAGTCCCTATCAGTGCACAAAAAGCTCTCCATTCTCCCAGCATTTTTAAAGTTCCCTTGGAAGACTAAATGCCAAAGAATATCCAAGAGAATTTTGAAAAGGAAAGTTGTCCTATCAGGTATCAACACGGTATGAGGCTGTAGCAGTAAGAACAGAATGGCAGTGGGGGAGAAACAGGCAAATGGGTGATGGCACGCAGCAGTCCCAGGACCTTGGGTTTAGCTCTTTACTGCAAACAAACGCACAGGCTGCATTTTAAATCACTTTTTTTTTCTGTTTTGGCCACCTGAAAATAAATACAAAGACCCCTATTCAACGCCATACAAAAACAAGTTCCAAGATTAGCAAAGGTCTCAGAGCATGAGAAAACTGTGTAAGGTCATTTTATTTTTGTGTAATCTCGGAGTGAGGAAGATCTTAACAAGTGTGACTCCTCTTTAGAGGAGTTTGGTTATAAAACAACATAAAACTTACCTATCAGGAAGCATGTTTATCATGTTCAAAGGCAAACACAATTTAGGGAGAAAAACTTCTGAAACATCTTTGGCAACCTGTATTCTGCTCCACTTTCCCATTGCTGTGTGCCAGGGCGCCCCAAGCCCGTTTACACATTCCCTTGCATCTCTGCGCGCCTGGCTGGGTGCTCTGCTTGGACATCACAAAACCGGAGTCAAGTGCTGATTGACTGAGTTACGGGAAGATCCGGGGAGTCCGCTTCCAGGGCCATTCCTGTCCCTGGCGAATCCAGCTCCTGGCAGCTGAGGCCCTGCTTCCTCGCTGCCATCAGCGGGGGCTGCTCTCCCGTCCCCCAAGGCCCCTGCGCCATCAAGCCATGTAGAGTCCCCCCACCCCCATCCAGTCCCACTCACCCTGTGAGTCTCTGATTCCCACTTTTGCCACCAGCCGGAGAAGGCTCTGCTTTTAGAGGGCTCATCTGCTCAGCTCAGGCCCACCTGTAACTTCCCTGTTGTCTTGTGATGTTAAATGATTACAGGAGTAAAACCAGGGGCAAAGTTGATGGGCACCATCTTTAAATCCTGCCTGCCTTGTCTTTACCACCCAAAGAGCCCTTAGAAGTCAACCAGTGAGCGACGAACATCGGCAGAAACGTGGCCTATGACAGGAGCAGGCCATTTGGGGAAGGGAGAAAACTGGTCCTTCAAACAAAACAGACTTCACTTCACTTATATTAAAACAATACAAAATAGTGACTTTTGGTTACTCAGCCAACAAAGAAAAGCTGGGTGAGTGCATGGCTCCTGAGGCAGGTCCGCGAGCTCCTGCCCAGTCCAGGTGGGGCTGCATCCGTCAGCTCCCAGCTCCGTCCCAAAGCGCCACAGGCCAGGCAGCTCCAATAAGAGGAGGTCGTTTTTCTTACAGGTCTGGAGGCTGGAAGTTCCGGAGCCAGGTGTGGGCATGGTTGTTCCTCTGAGGCCTCCCTCCTTGGCACGGGGACACCTTCTTTCCCTGGGTCCCCTGTGTGTCTGTGACTCCGTCTCCTCCTCTTATAAGGACACAGTCACATTGGGCCAGTACCCACCCATGACCTCATTTCACATTAGCTGCCCCTGGAAGACCCTCTCTCCACCCCAGCGACCGCTCCGGTCCCTGTCCCCATATTCTTCTTACCCACACAGGAGCGAGACTTCTCTGGCATTAGAATTTTTTTACGATCATCTTGGTTGTAAAAAAAAAATCTGTTTTCAAGGTTAAGCTACATCCTTTAAGAACACCTGGGTCACATCCTAAGGAATTGACTCCTAATAACAAAACTCACAAGAGATTCATTTGCAGAGCTAGAGCCCCAGTTTTCTTAGGGAGCTAGCCTCAGTCGATGACTGTCGGCTCACTGGCATAGCGCGGGCCTCTTTCAGTGGATAGATCCAAACAGAAAACCAGTCTACAGATCCGAAGGCTGCTGGATGAACGATGAACGTCGTGCTGCACCCCACATGCCATCGTGGGGCGGGGCGTCAGCCCACCCTCAGGCTGGCTTCCTCCTAGGAGAGTTAGGACTCTACCCAGGACTGCTAACCTCTCCATGTAAGAAATCCGTGAAGTAACTGGGGCCTTGTGAGCGAACACTTCGCTGTTATCCTCGGACACAGGCTTGCAGCTGTGGGCACAGGTGGCATGTAGCTTCGTCTCTCTGGTTAGGTGGTAAGGTCACTGATGGCAAAGGCCGGTCTTTAGTTTGACAGCAGTTTCCCAGCTCACCCTGAACGGCAGGAGGGGTGCTGTTTCCTGGGGTTTCAGGCCAAACAAGAGCCTGTGGGTGACACAGGACCGGCCCCCCACTTCTCCACAGTGGCAGCTCTGCAAACGGAGATGGAGCGCCTGGCCCTGCAGCTCTTCTTCGTGCAGAACATAGACCAAGACGTGCGTGACGACATCCTCGTGATGAAGCAAGTCGTGAAAAAGTCTGAAGTGGAGCGGACGCGGGCCGAGGCACAGAAGAGGAGACAGGTATTCTGCAAATTCCTCGCAATGTGAGGGCCCCTAGGCCTTGGCTTTTCCAAAGGCGCTTAGCTGCACTTCCTGCCTGATCCCGCAGCTGGGCGAGGCCGTGGCCAGCCTGGAGCCACTGACCGGGACTGCGCTGGTGGACATGGTCCCTGAGTGCCTGTCGCCTCGTTCCACAGGACCTGCATGTGGACCAGCTCACCACCCGAGCCAACCAGCTGGAGGAGCAGATCGCCCTGCTTGAGGCCCAGTACAGTGCCCAGGCTGAAGACACCCGGATTCTCAGAAAGGCAGTGAGTGAGGTAAGGGCCACACCATAGTGGCCGCCATGCGGTGCCAGACAGCATTCCTGCACAGCTCCACCCAGCCCTGTGTCTCCGTAAGCATCCCAGAGCATCCGCTGACCCCCAGTGGGGACACGGGAGGTAGTCGCCCACTCACTACGGCTTGTATTGTTATCTCACCTGTCTTTCCAGTGGGTTTCAGCCCTGGACAAGTTCACGATGGATTCGATGTGACCAAAGAAATGACAGTAGAATATTCTTGGGGTGAAAGGATTTATACCCAACTTTATTTCCTGGTGACAGGTCAATCACTAGAATCCTGTCTACTCAGAGCGAGTCGGCATGCAGCAAGCCAGTCTCTGCCTCTGGGCCCTTCTGTCTGCACAGCCGTCCTCTGGGTCTCTCTGCACAGTTGTCCCACAAGGCTGTCCTCTGGTCCTCTGTCCTCGGCGCTGCCACCACTCCAGCCTCTGCTCTGCTCTCCTGCAGCCTTGCAGCCCTGCCACCATGTCGCCCAGGGCACTGGGCAGGACTCTTTATATAGAGTCAATAACGACATATTGCCCACGTGTGTAGTGAGCCAGCCAACCAGGGCCAGGTGGGAATCCTGGCCACGGGAACCTTCACTTTATCCACACCACCGCAGCTGGTAGCAGACTGGACAGCTTCCCGGGAGGGCTGAGGACCCTCGGAGGATTCCCAGCCCTGGGCAGCCAGCTGAACTCAGGGGTTTCCTGAGACGTGGGACTTCCTGTGCTAAAACCCGGGAGAGTCCTGGGCAGGGGATGGCAGGTCACCCCAGCATCGCCACACCAAATATTAAATACTGTACAGCCTAGAGGCTAAAATGATTTGTTCCTGGAATTAGAGATAGACGGGAAGGCCACAGGAGTCATGAGGGCCCAGAAGCAAGCCAACGTTTATAAAACTTTGGGTAGATAATAAATCCATGGAGATGGTGTGAATTTAGCACCCAGTGGTGGAGCGACATTTGGTTAATCATCTGGGGAAAAGAATGAAATCTGTTCCTCATACCAGACATTAAAATAAATTCTAGCTGGGATCAAGCATTTAAATAGGGAAAATGTACCAGGAGAAAATAAAAGAATATGTCCAAAATCCTGGGCTGTAGAGGGCTTTCTGAGGATGCCACCAGCAGCAGACACTTCCAAGGAAAAGAAAAGACTGGCAGAGTAGGGACGCCCCCTGGGGCAGCTTAGGGACCCCCCAGCAGGACAGAAGGACGCGCTTCCCGCAGGAGCCAGTGGCAGTGTGAAGAGGCCTGGAAAGACAGTAAGCAGCAGCCTGTGTGTCTCCACGCTGTGCCAACCAAGGGTACGCACGTGGTGCCAGGAAGTCCCTTTTTGTGCCCTCCGCCTTCCTCTGCACCAGTCTCTGCCAGGGCAGACTGCCCCCCATTTATTCATATGCCTTCCTGCACCCAGAACAGCAGGGGCTGGAGCAGGCGCCATAGAATCAGTGAACGAACAAATGAGGACCAAGAATAGTAAAAGGACCCGCTGGCCTCCTCCTGCCGGCTTGGCAAAGATGAGCTGCAGCAGAGAGAGTTCCCACACCCACGGGGAAAACGCCCGCTGGTCTTTACCAGGGTCTTTGTTTAAAGACGATGTGGTAGCACGAAGGGGGAAGGAAGCTCCCTCCCCATCCCAAAACATCACCACCTGGGCTTCATTCCAAGGGAAATGCTAAAGGTGCACACAGGTAAAGCTTGCACGCATCACAGACGCCGGCAGACAAATAGGCTCAGCAGGGCACTGCGTTGTGTGTAATAGCAGAGGTGCTAAGGAGACGGCCTTGTTTAAACCAAGTAGACATACCTGTGTAGGGCAGGACTGCCCGCCAGGAGGAGAAATATTTGCTGATGTGGAAGCCCATTCATGGTATCCTAACTTTTAATTCTAGGTGACAAAATAATATGTAGAATATGATTCCATAAAAACACACGCACACACACACACACACACACACACAGGAAGACAGCAGCAGGATGTTGATATCATAAGCTCTTAAGTAGTAGGATTATTGGTACTTACTTTCTTTTTTGCTAATTTGCAAAGAAGGAAACACTTTTTTTTAATGGGAAGGGTGTTCAAAACATTTAAAGACTGAATTCAGCCGTGATCTTTACATCTCAACCCACACGCTGGTCAGCGGGCTCTTACGCAGCAGCCTGGGGGCCACGGGAAGGTGCCCGCCTCTGGCTGACTGGCCCAGCCCGGGGGGAGCCCAGGAGTTAGGGCGCCTGCCACCCAAGCTGGGTCCACAGCCAGCCACCCCACCGCGTTCCCATGGCGACCCTGAGTGAAGGCTCACACAGCTGTTTGGTGTGTCTTTAGAGCCGTATTTATTTCATATTCATTTTTCATTGGTTCATGATAAAGGCCAGGGACAGGGGAAGGAAGGTGATTCCAGAAAGTCTGGGATCTCGGACCTCCTTTTGGGGCTTCAAGCATAGTGAAATGTACCTTGACTCTGCCCTGCAGGCCTGCACGGAAATAGATGCCATCCACATGGAGAAAAGGCACGTCCTGCAGCAGTGGGCCACCAGCCTCACGGGCATGAGGCTTCGCGACGAGGCTCACAGGACCATCCACGAGACCCTCAGGTAGGGCCTGAGATGCGTGGGTACGTGGGGTGGGCGGGGGTGCAGACTACTCGGCTCCCGCTCCCTCCCAGGTGAGCACCGAGCACCTGTCCTGCCGCGTCTCCCAGGACCGGGGTGCACCTGCAGCCCCGCAGCCCGGCGTCCGTCCTGGAAGCTCCTGATTGTCCACCAGGATCTCGGTGTTTCTGAAGCCCTGCCGAGCTTCCTGCAGTACCGGGAGCAGCAAAGCTTTCAGGCCCAGATTCCCGGGAGTATCGGGAAGCAGGGAGGGCAAGAGAGGGGGCGGGGCATCTGTCTCTGGGAGGCAAGGGTGAGCCTGGTTGCAGTTTCACCACCTGTGGGCAGAAACGCCGTCCCTTTGAGATTGCTCTGCCAGGGCTGTGTTCCGACTGGAATCCAATTTAGTCCCCCCTCCCCACAAAGGAAAGGAAGAAGCCCCCTCCTCGAGTCCCCTTCTGTCACTCGGGTAAAGGGTTGCCGTGCGGAGTGGGTAGGGTGCTCGAGGTGGGGGCTTCCTGGCACAGCACCCCCCGGGGGGCACTTGGCCCATCTGCAACGCTGAGCTGGCCAGAGCGGCATGGGACTCGCCACCCACGGGAATGAGGGCACGGCTCTGTCTGCTCCCGCGTGGCCTCTGGTAGCTGTACAGCCGGGAAGACGTTTCCTTTTGGTCCTGTGACTTAGAAGCCAAAGGCCACGCACACGCACCATGGTCACGTGCTAGGCACACACGGTTCTGTGCTGTGCTCTCTCTGCCTTTTCACCAACAGTGTGTCCAGGAGAGCTTCCCAAACCACAGTATAAAGATGGCTCCTCCCTCCCCTTTCACCACAGAGCATCCCGCTGGGCCGCTTCTGGTGGGGAGGTTCCCTCCTGGCCCCGAGGTTACCTGCTCTCCTTTTCCACCGTGTTGCCAACGCACTGTGTCCAGGATCGTGACATTTACATGATGCTGTGCTTACATTCCCCACCAGCCTAGGCGTTTGGGGACGTGCATGTGCAGGTCTGACAGGTATCACCCAGTAAGGCTGTGACATCACTCCCCACGGCGGTGTTCCCAAGTCCCAGGACAGTTCAGCGGGCTTCCATGCCTTTGGGTTGTGCCAATCTGATTGATGAAAAACACAACATTGCGTTTTTAAAATACGCATGCATGGAATGGTCAGCGAATATTTTAGCAAAACACCCACGTGTAACAAGGCGTCTGGTTCTAGGTCAGCTGACCTATCAGACTCGGAGGCGTGAGGCCTACCTTTTCATGGGAACTGTGAGTGACAATTGCAGAGATGTGCCATCTGTGTCCAGATGCGTAAGAAGAAGGGAATCTAGGACAGTTTAACAGAAGGTCAGGGCTTTGCCAGAATCACTTATGACTCCCAGTCCAGTCCAGCACCAAACCCCAAATGCCGACTCATGATGTGTAGACCATTTTAGAGAATGAACAAAAGGGTGATGTTCCTGACTGATGGCTGGGACGTGGGACACAAGGCCAGCACCCAGTGTTGTCTAGGCACAGCAGGGTCCTTGACTGGACGGGGTTCCCGGGGACCAGGCCCATCATCTTCGAAGCTGGCATCATCATGCCAAGAATGCCTCTGTGCCCTTGGGGTTAGTGTGCAGGAATCAGGTTCGCCAGAGGCTGACACAAAGGACACTGCCAGTTTATTCATGTCCACTACAGGGCGCTGCTCAGGGAAGGCAGAGGCACCTGGCGGTCTGCTCACACAGGAGGAGGTGCCCCGAGGCCCCCCTGGAAGCCCCCTCTGTGCCCCTCCTGCTGTGGTGACCCTTTCCCGTTACTCACCCGCCCCTCCTCCCTTCTGATGCCCATGAGATTTTTCCCAGTGAAGTAATACCTTCTGTTAGTTTCTGGCCGAATCCTGCATTTTCTCCTTTTTTAATTTCCTTGCATGTCTCTTCATTTTATGTCAGTTCTACAGTTTAGAGAATCCAGTGTCCCGGTTCTTGGGCCGGGGGGCACGGTAAGTTGCTCCCATGTGTCTCGTTCATGATGAGCAAGGTTAGCTGCAGGCCCGTGCACCTGCTGACTGTTGCCGTCTCGGCTGTTTGCAGGGGCACCACGTGCAGTCCCAGAAATGCAGGGGAACCCTGACACGCAGTTGGGCTTCAGACTGGTCCAGAGCTTCCGGCACAAGAAAGCAGAAACGCTGGCCTCAACGCCCTCTAGACTCCTTTTCCTTACATCCTGACGAGGGCAGAGACAGCCCTCTGGGGCAGTTCCCTTCAGCGTGGAGGGCTGGGGCAGTCTGCCTGGCCGAGCAAGGGAGAACAGGATGAGCGTCTACAGTCCCCAGCAGGGAGCCCCTCATCCGCAGGGCCTTCAACAGGGTCAGAGGTAGAATTCAGAGCAAGACAGTAATAGCGTGGGATCTGGCCGCACTCTTCCTGTGTGGCAGGCCCTGCCCCACTTGGTCTGGCATGGCCCCTCCCAGTGGGGGCTCTCTCACCACCCACATTTGACAGACGAGGAGGCAGTGCGGGAGGCAGTGTGGAGTGCACTGGCATGGGCACCACCACCGCCACCCCCAGGGACCTCCCTCAGGCCTGGGGCCTGGCTGGTGGCACCCATCACTGCCACGGATGCATGCCACCCAGGAGACCCGGCATAGTGCAAGGGCAGAGAGCACCCTGTTAGTAATGGGTCCCTGGACAAGGGTGCGTGGGTGAGGCCCTTTGGGATTGCTTGCATGGCACACTGTCCTGTCCCTCCCTTCCACTCAGGGAGGCCAGGTGACCGTCCCTCCACAGGCTCCATGAGGCAGGGGGCTCATGCCGTTGGTCTAGGCCCAGCAGCCCCGAGCAAAGCCAGCATATGCCCTCTAGACAGACAGGTCCCCCCCACACAGTCACTTTAAAGGCCAAGGCCATCCCACAATGTTAGTGACAACGTCAGATCAAAAGTGGGTCCCGACCACAGGTGAGTACCCACAGCTGAGACTGAATTAACACCGAGAGTCAGGGATTCAAAGGAAATGGGCCATTTCATGTGAAACCTCTCAAAACAAGCCAGAAACCACAAAGACAGTGCTGTGCTTAACTTGGGGGGTCCTCAGGGACAGGGCGGCAAAGGGTCCCTGGAGCCCCATTATCTGCCTCTGTCTTACTTCCTGACAGGAGATGCATGGGGCAGATGGAGCTCAGCGTGAGCCAGGAGCCCCTGTGCCCCCAACGCTGATCTGTCACCCAGCTGCCTCCAGATCCTAAGCGGGGTCCCTCTGAACCCCCCGTGGGCTCAGGCTGCCCTCTAGAACCCGCCAGGGTCTGTTTTGTGTATTTTCAGTCGGCATCTATTAATCAGGAAAGTTTTTAAAGTGTGTTTTTTTTTTTAATGATTTTTATCAGTTTAGTGATCACATTACAGGAAATTTGAAAACCAGAGAAAAGGATCTAAAAATACCACTGTCTTTCTCCTCTGGTGGCAGTGACAGTTTGCGAGCTTTCTGGGCACATGCAGGTGTGTTTTCCCGCCCAAGCACGTGTTACACCAGAGTGTTCACACTCCTGTCATGCAATTTGGTAACTGTATCTTTTTAAAATTGGACATCTTATTTTTACTGTCAAATTTTAGACATCTATAAGGCTGCTGCTTCCTAAAAAAGGAAAATGAGTAACTTTCTCAGGTTAAGTCGGGTTTATCGAGGATAATTTAGGTACAAATTCATTATGTACAAGTTACCTTTTCAGCGCGCAGTTCCTGCAAACGGACAGAAGCAGGTAACCGTTACACACGGGGGATGTCGGGCACCGCCCCCAGCCCCCAGCAAATGCTGGCCTGCTTTCTGCCCCTGTAGGTCTTTTGTTTCCAGAACGTCACGTCAGTGGGGGGCTCACACAGAGGGGGCTCTTCTCATCTGCCCCCTCTTCCGCCTTGTGATGCTCCGGAGTTCTGCCCTGGCGCTGCAGGATCGCCCCCTGGCTCCCCCAGATTGCTGGGCAGTGATCCCCTGCGTGGGGACATCGGAATGCCTTTATTCAGTCACCAGCTGATGGGCAGGCCGGTTGTTTCCAGTTTGGGGAAATCCCGAATAAAGCTGCTGTGGCCATCTGTGCTGCTCTGGGTGCAGACAAGTTTCCATTCCCCCCCCGCCCACCGCAAATTCCCATGTGGCGGGGGTGGGGGGGGGGTGTTGCTGAGAAGTAGATATTTCACTTTACTGCAAACTGCCACAGGGTTTTCCAAAGTGGCTTGTTCCATTTTGCCTTCCCGCCAGCAGCATACACGATTCCGTTACTGCCCGTCCTCATCAGCTCTTGGTATTGTCACTCATTTTAATTTTAGCCATTAAATGCAGCCCTTGGGAGGCACGTCGTGGTATTACACTAGGGTTTGAGCCCGCGTTTCCCTCCTGAGTAACGGTATTGAGCTCCTTTGCATGCGCTTATTTGCCGTCCATGCGTCGTCTTCTGTAAAGTGTCTTTTGCTCATCAAAGTGAGTGGTTTCTCTTACGACTGAGTTATGAGAGTTCTTCATGTATCCTGGACACAAACCCTTTATCAGATGTGTGTTCTGGAAATATTTTCTCCTGGTCAGTGGCCTGTCTTCTCGGTCGCTCAACAGTGTCTTTTGAAGAGCAGAAGTTTTAAATTTTGATAAAGTCCAATTAATTTTTTTCCATAGCTCTTTCATGCTTTTTATGTCCTCTCTGAGAAATCTCTGCCTGACCCAGGGTTGTAAGTTTCTCTCCCGTGTTGTCTGCTGAAGTTTTATGACTGTGGCTTTCCATGGGCACGTGAGCCATTTCAAGGTGATTTTGTCACGGTGTGAAGCCGAGGTCCCACCTCTTCTTGCACACCTGTCTCCAGTTGTCCCAGCACTGCTGTTGAAGACCACCCTCTCTCCGTGGCACCCGCCATCAAAAACCGGTGGCACCTTTGTCAAAAAACAGCTGGTCCCATGCATGTGCCTGTGTGGGTCTCTCTTCTGTTCCGGTGATTTGTCCACTTTCGCCAGGAAGCCACAGCTTTATAGGAGCTTAGAATCAGACAGTGGAAGTCTTTGTTCTTCTTTCACAAAATTATTTTGGCTATTCTCAGTTCTTTGGATTTCCACATACATTTTAGAATGAGGTTGTCAGTCATGAAGAAAAATGCCTAGTGGGTTGTGATCAGAACTGCATCAAGTCGACACCTTAACAATACTGAGTCTCCTGCCATATGGACATGGCATACCTCCCCAGTACCCTTTTTAAAATTTGTACATGTGTTTATTGCTCCACTGGTGAAATCAGGAAAAAAGAACAGAAAACTAGAAAGGTCCTAATTGTGTATCCATGAGGACAATTAAATTATGGCACATTCATCACTTAGAATACTAAATGTTTTTTCGCAAAACCTCCAGCCCGTTTTCCATAGTGGCCGCACCAACTTACATTCCCACCAGCAGTGTAGGAGGGTTTCCTTTTCTCCACATCCTCGCCGACACTTGTTATTTCCTGTCTTTTGGATGGTGGCCATTCTGACTGGCGTGAGGTGGTATCTCAGTGTGGTTTTTGATTTGCATTGGTGATGCGGAGCATCTGATGATTGGTGATGTGGAGCATCTTCTCATGTGCTTGTCGGCCATCTGTATGTCTCCCTTGGAAAAATGTCTATTCAGGTCCCCTGCTCATTTTTAATCAGATTATTCGTGTTTTTGGTGTTGAGTTGTATGAGTTCTTTATATATTTTGGATGTTAGCCCCTTATCAGATTAATTATTTGCAAATGTCTCCTCCCATTTCCTCTTTGTATTGTTGATGGTCTCTTTGACTGTGCAGAAGAGAAAGCCATGTTTAAAGTACAGCAGGACATCTCAGAATGAAAGGGGAACATCGCCTCACACACTAAAGTGTAAACTCCTTTTTCCAGTATCTATACTTGTAACTTGATGTAAATTACAGGTATTTCCATGGCCAGGATGTGGAGGGGGAAACAGCAGAGTCTGAAGTGACTCCCACTGGTGTTTCCCCAGCCGTGGGGCAGGCCACTCACATGTTCCGAGCCTCCGTGTCTGCATCCGTAGAGCCGGAAGAACGGCTTCCTTTCCAGGACCGTCGTCGTGACTAAAGAGGACGGGCGGGAGGCGCTTTGAGATGCACTGGCTTCCTTCCCCTTCGGTCTCCCATGATCATAATCTCAAAGACTTTCAGACTTGGACTTGAAATGGGGAATAGCACTATGAATACCCTAGAAAAAGTCAAGATTTGGCTACTATTACGAGGGGTAGTTTCCTAACTGATTTCTCCCCATTCGGTGAGCTTCCTCCAAGTGGGGTACAACCACGGGCACTGGTGTTCTCATATCCTGGCTTTATTCTCTCAATTTCGGCAGCGAATGCCAGCATCAGATCAGGTCGTTGGACAGTGAGATCGAGGCCTATAAGAAGTCCATCACGAAGGAGGAGGAGAAAAACGAGAAGCTGGCGAGCGTCCTGAACCGGGCAGAGACGGAAGCCAGCCTGACGCAGAGACTGACCACCCAGTGTCTGGCCCAGCAGGAGGCCCTGGAGAATGAGCTCAACACCTACCGGCTCGCCCTGCAGGACACAGAGGACGCACTGGGCAAGGCCCACGGGGTACGGCCAGCCCCCTCCCAGCAGGGCGTGCCCCGTGGCCCCCAGAGCAGCATCCACCTCTGACTCTTTCTCTGCAGGAATACACGGCCACCGCGGCCGAACTGCAGGCTGCGCACCAGAACATCCAGCACGAGCTGGAACTGCGGAGGAAGATGGACGCCGCCGTCGTGGAGAAGCTGCAGGAGCACATGACCTCCGACAGGATGACCAAGCACTTCCACCAGCTCATCCTGAAGCTCCGGAAGGAAAAGACCGACCTGGTGTGTCCCCTCCGCACGTTGCATGTGGGGTGGGGGCCCTCGGGGACAGGGTGGCAGGAACAAGAGGGCCTGCGGCGTGTCTCCTCACTCTTTGTTTCTAGCCGGAAAGACACTGCCCTTTATTGCAGAAATCCTGGAAATTTAGAAAGGCATTAAGAGGGAAGTAAGACATCGTAACCCCGCCATCCAGAGATAATCTCTCCTAAAATTTTGATGGATTTCCTTCTGGGAATTTTTCTAAACACACACACTCATCTTTACACATGCAACCAAATGCATGCACACACACGAACACACGCATATCTGCATCCCCATGCACACCATGGCCAACACACTCACACGTGCACACACTCAAACATGCACACTCATGCAAACACAAAACTGAACACACACGTGCACACACACCTTAAACAACATGGGACTCAATTAATTATGAGTTTTAAGTCTATTTCAACCCATGTTTCATTAATTCTACTGAAATATGACACAGAAGTACACAGATAATTATAGGAGTCAATGAATTTTTCACTGCATATATATATATATAGTGTTTTACTTTTTGGCCATATTTGCTATAACAGTTTTCATTAAGTGTTCTTCAAAAATCTACATTTTCATTTCTGCATAACATTTCATCGTACAAATGCACGTATTTCATTTAACAGTTCCCTGTTACACACTTCACGTTGTTTCTGGTTTTAAACACTCGGCCCTAAATGTGCTTGTACACCTTTGTCCCCAATTTTGAGGATAAACTGCTGCTCAGAAACCCTGGGCCAAAGGGTAGGAGACTTTAAATGGATTGTGGGGCTTCCCGAGCCTCTGCCTGCCAAGGTCCTGGAGCATGAACTGACCTTCCCGGGCTGGGGGGTCCCCTCTGCCCCCTTGGGCCCCCCTGTGCTGTCGGAGCTGTGGTCAGGGCCCTGTGTCCTCTGAAAAGCAGCCTCTCACTTGAATAGTTGCTTCTTTGTCTCTCCTCGTGGGTGACGCCCTCTGGCATCCCCTGCTTTGTCAGGACCCCTGGGGGGACCCTGCGGAGGTCACCGCAGCCTGCACAGGACCTAGAGCACAGCCCAGCACAGGGCCGGCCCCACGGCCCCACACTTGCCTTCCAGCCCCATGCCTCAGTGTGCATGGGGACGCGGATGTGCGTAAGGTTCCACATGTGTGACTGCAGCCCAAGCCCCCTGAGGGCAGGAGGGCGGGGAGCTCCCACGGGGTGCTGCATTCACTCTTACTGGTGTGAGGCACCCCCAGATGCTGGAGGGTTAAATCCCACAGATTATTAAAATGAGAGCAAAGCGCCTGGAAGGACCAGAGGCAGTGATCCCTAAATGTCAGCCGTCACCACTGTTGCCTGGTGGGCTCTGGTGAGGAGGGGGCCCAGCTCAGACTAAAGGGACCAGCTGCCTAGCTGGTGGGGCTCACCTGTCCTCCTGGGAGCGTGGGGCCACTGTCCACCTGGCTGATGGCGGGGGAGTCCCATCAGTCCTTTCTCTGGGAGGTGGGGCAGACCACCTGCTCGGAGCAGAATAGGGAGCCAGGGGCACTGGGGAAGCTAAGGGGCGCGGTGGGTGTGAAGGAACCCGCCCTGCTTGGGGCTGCAGGGGCCCCGCCCCCCGCCCCCGGAGGCGGCACCTGTACTACCACTGGAGTCCAGCGGAGGGCAGTAAGGAGCCCTGCTCCCGCTAACTGTCTACTACCACCGCCCCAGGTGCAGCCCAGCTCCTGGAAGCTGGCGCTTTCTAGGAACTGCTCAAAACCCCCTGGGATGGTGGCAGGCGGGTCAAGGCATATTTGAGACAAGGAGCAGAGGCTGTGGGTGGACGGAGTCATCTGGAGCCGGGGTCCACACCATTCACGGGCAGTGCCGACGTCCCAGGGGGAGGCCAGGGCGGTCTCAGCAGGAACAGGCGGCTGGGGCGGTGATCTGGCTGGTCTGGCTGGTGACAGGAAGGGGTCTTAGGGGCGGGAGTCCCCTCGCGTGGTGAGCGCTGGGCAGAGAGGAAAGCAGGGTGATCCCAGGTGAGCTTGGCAGAGAGGTGGCATACTCTGAGCTGGGAGGGCCCCCCGCTCACAGGGAGCTGGGTGACTTGAGATGCTGGAAGCTTCTGGTGGGCAGGGTCTGGCTTTAAACCTGAGGATGGCGGGTGCCCTGCAGAGTCACCCACAGTGGCGGGTCAGAGAGAGCTCGAGGGACAGGGCCAGCTAGGGCCACGGAGGGGAGGAGCCGAGCCGAGCCTGGGGGGCCGTGAATGCTGAGGATGGCAGGGGCTGCCTGTGGCGAGGGGCTGGTGGGAGGGTCAGGCAGCGCCAGGCCTGGGGAAAGGGACCCTGTCCCCAGCGTGAGCCTGATCCCCACAAATATCCTTATATAATATCCTTAAATAATAAACCGCCTTTACAGGAAAGGATCCGCCAAGTTAAATCTCTTCTGAGACAAGACAAGAGGCGGGGGTGGGCTGGTGAGGCCCGCAGGGCGGCAGGCGGGCCCTGCGGCTCCTCCGCGGTTCTCCCTGGGCGGAAGCCCCGGCCAAGAACCCAGGGCTGGCGAGTAGCCCCAGGGGCCTGACCTTCCCGTTGGGTGGTGGGTGGCCCGCCAGTGGCATATTCTTTTTCTAGGACTGTGTCCAGCTTTTCAGTAAAATGTAAGAACATTTTTTCCCATCAAATATAAGGGGTCGTCATGAAGTTTTGCCACAGCGTTACTTGAATAGGAACACTGACACCAGTTTCAGGCCCAAAGGGATGGCATCTCGGCTCTCTTCACCAAAGCCACCAACGTCAAGTGCAGTGCAGACGCTCAGTTAGCGGTGTGGCCGTGAGTGGGTGCTGACAGCTCTGACGTGCATACAGATATGACAGAGGATTGCACAGCCGGTAACAGTGGTGTGACATGGGAACACAACACAACATTTACCTAAAAAAAGGCGGCTGACAAGCCTACATTGTAGAGTGTGGTCCTGTTTTCCATTTCTGTGGGAGGAGGGGGTTTCTAAAGACAGAAGGAAGGTTAGTGATGGTGGCAAACTGTGTGGCCGAATGGCACGATTGAAGGGTTCCTGTGTGATTCACATTTCCCCACAATGTGTGCCATTTGTTTCGTGAGAAGAAACAGTGTCATCTTTCTTTTGTGTGAGAAGCCACCACTAGGGTTCCAGCAAGTAGGTCCTCTGACAGGACCTTGAGATGGAGAGAAAACCAGCCTCCTCCTCCCCTGCGCTGTTTTGGGATTTAACCAGATGGACATCCAGGCATTCAAGGAAACAATAAGCCAGCCAGCTTGTCTGAAGCCCAAATGTTCAGACATGTTTCCTTTTGCCAATTCAGGTGAACCGTCTTTCCAAAATCGATGGTGACATTGCTCAGACCACCCTGGATATCACAAACACCACCTGCAGGCTGGACATGCATCAGAAGACGCTGGCCGAGCTGGACGACAACGTGAAAAAAGTCAGCGACCTCATCGCCAACAGTGAGAACGAAATCTCCAGGCACACAGTCCTGATTGAGAGAAAGCAAGGCCTCATTAACTTTTCCAACAAGCAGCTGGAGCAGATGGTTTCTGAGCTGGGGGTAAGATCCCAGGGCCAGGAGAGGCCACTTCGAGTCGATACTTATGCCTGGCCATTTCAAGAACTTGCCCTGAGAAATGAGCCCACAGAGAACACAGCCATCCCCTTCCCCGCCCATTTGCACGTGAAATGGCTCGTGTGCAGAATGCTCTAAGTCAGGGGCTTCTGCAAACCTCCTCTCAAGAGCCCAGTAGTAAATATTTCAGGCGTTGCAGGCTAGATGGTCTCTATTGAAAGGTGTCACCCCTGGTGCAGTGGCAAGAAAGCCACCACAGGCCACAGTGAGAGGATGGGTGTGGCCATGTGCAGTGACCCTTATTTACGGCCCTTAAAACTTGAATTCTATAGAACTTTCACCTGGCATGAGACTTTCTTCCTCTTTTGATTCTGTGCCCGCCCTTGGGCCATAAAGACAGGCAGCAGGCAGGACGGACCCAATGACCCACTGATCCACTGACCCACTGCGCTAAGTGTGGTGGGCTCAGGAGCTTGAGGCTTGAAGTCCAACATGTCAGTCTGGATACCTGTGCCCCAGGGACCTACCACGGGCCTCCTGTGACAGTCTGCTGTTAAAAGACAACTTGCAAAACCACTTTGGGTGGTGGAGGCCCCCCTGACCCTGCCCTCACCCCCATAGGGCTGTGGCAGGGTGGGGCCATCTCCCACCACAGAGGGTCCCCGGCGCGTGGCCTGGGCCCTCAGGGGCAGGAACCCAGTGATGGGCCCTGGTGCCTCCAGGTAAAAATTCCTCAGTCCTCCTACCGACGCGTGGTGTCAGGGGCCCCAGCCCCCCGCAGCCCGCGTGGGACACAGGCCTCTGGGAGCAAGGAGCCTCATTCTGCTCTTTGGCGGATACCACCCTCAGGGGGAAGAAGTGGGGCCGCTGGGACTTGAGGTCAAAAGGCTGACCAAGCTGATCGAGGAACACAGCACCAGTGTGATTCGGGCCCAGGTGACGTGGCTCCGCCTGCAGCAGGAGGTGGTGCAGGCCACGCAGCAGCGTGAGGAGCAGCTGGCCTCCCTGGGCACACTCAAGAAGGAGGCCCACGTCCTGGAGCAGAAGAAGCTCCGCATAGAAAGTAAGCGACCCCACAGCTCCCGGGGAGAGGGCCACTGCCCTGGGCAGAGCATCGCTCTGTGGAGCACCCCGCTTTACCTCCCAAGGCCCTTAGAATGATCCACAGCGATGCTCACGTCACATTTTGCAAACAGCTGTTGTCCTGACAGAAGCATGGAAAAAACTGAGTTTAGGTTCACGGACTGCAGAGTGGTCCCAGAGCAGGAGCACGGACGCTCCCGGGAAGCACAGCCAGCACACGCTGCTCAGGGAGAGAGTGACTCCTGGGGCCCCAAAGTCGGAGCTGCAGGGAGAGGATCTTTCCTCCTCTCCAGCTGGACTTAGAGGACTGTCCCACGGGGGCTCCCGGCTCGTCCTGCCCCAGGCCGCATCTAAACCCTAAGGGTGTCTGGCGTGCCAGGCTGTCCAGTGGGGAGGCAGGCACCCTCCCCGCTGCCATGCACCCCAACGACCACCTGCTAAAGCATCCAGGTCTACTCAGTCCCACCTGGTCCCCCGCCAGGGACCCAGGCAGATCAGCTGGGCCATGCGGACCCACAGGCCATGCCTATGGCCTGGCCATTCCGCCCGGACACCTTATGCACGATTCCACCCAGAGACGTGCTGCCCTGGGGGTGCTCAAACCCATCTGTCAGAGGTTAGGGCAGCTGTTCTCAGCTCCCACACCGGGGTTTGGGGTGGGGAGGGGTGGGGACCCACATGGGGCTGCCTTTCCTGGAGTCTCAGTATCTGTCCCTGCCTCTGAGGAACCCAAGTGTCCTGGGGGAGGGCAGCTTGCTGGCCATCATCCCGCCACCCATCTGCTGGCTGTCCACACACAGAGGTCCTTTCGGTTCCGCGGAGGGCCAGGATTTGGACCCCTTCCCTCTCCTCTGGCCCAGCAGGGCACCGAGAAGGATAGTGAGGCGGGAGGGGAGCCGAAGGGAGGGACCCTACCACTCTCGGGGGCCCAGGTTTCCCGGCGGGTGAGGACTTAGGGCCTGTGGCCCCCACTCTGCCGCAGACAAGATAGAGCAGGAGAAGAAGGCGCAGAAGGAGGTCGAGCGGCACATGAGGGGCCTGGACAACGACCTGAAGAGGCTCAACGTTCTGGTGGGCAGAAGCCGGAGCAGCTCCGAGGAGCTGAGACACGGCAACCTGGTGACCGAGAAGGAGTTCCTGTGCTCGCTCAAGGTCGGGCTGGGGGCCCACGGGGTCGGGGGTCGGGGGCACATGGGGGGGCGGCGCACAGGGGAGTGAGGAGTGGGCGCGTGTCAGGGGGAAGCGGGCCCAGGGGCGGTGGGGCAGAGGGAATGGGGGCGCGTGGGGGCTGGGGGGGTGCCCTGCAGAGGCTGTCCGCCCACAGCCGCTGGCGTTCTGTATGCAGGCCTCTGAGAGGGAGACCATTGAGATGCAGGAGAAGCTGAGCCAGCTGGGCGAGGAGAAGGCAGCCACCCTGAACCGCCTGGTGGAGGCTGAGTGAGTCCAGGGCTGCGCCGCACCCCGAGGGCAGGTGGCTGGGACCACAGGGCCCCCGGACAGCAGAAGGTCCCCACAGGGCTCCGGTATCCTGCCCTCTCCCCGAGCCAGTTTTCGCTGGAAATTCAGTGTCTTTCCTTGGGATAAACTTTTGAAAAATCACAGTGTCTCTGTAACGCTGACAGGTGCCCGATCCTAAGAGCGGTCCATACCCAACTGTAAGCATTTCGCACAGTAGCAATGGCCGCGCAGCGAGGAGAACCACACCCAGTTCCGACTCTCTTCCTTTATCAGAAAACCACGTGTGTATACATTTTCTCATTTGTGTTTTTTCACAAAAATGGGATTATTCTCTCTGCTCCCCTTTGAAGCCGTCTCTTGCTTTTCCGTGGCTCTCCCACGCGACGTGCACGTGGATTGTCCGGGTGGAATGGTCGCTGAGCAGGCCCTGTGCGGAGATGTCAGAGTGACATCATGTGCCCTGCAGGCACTGAGCAGCAAAGGGTTCATCCAGTCCTTGTAGTTTGAAAGAATCTACACGTAAAACCATGTGGGCCTGATGCTTTTGAGGGTCTGTCAGTCCCTCCTGGCTGCTATACCACCACAGGCTGGGGGCTTATCAACAACAGACATTTATTGCTCACAGCCCTGGAGCCTGGAGTCTGAGTTCAAGGTGCCGGCCTCTGGGGTGAGGGGCCTCTTTTGGGTGCAGGTGTCTGGCTGTGTCGTCAGTGGATGGAAAGAGGCTAGGCAGCTGCAGGGTCCCTTTTATAAGGGCACTAATCCCATTCACGAGGCTCTATCCTCATGACCTGTCGCCTCCAAACACATCTCCACATGTCAGGTTAGACTGCCGCAGGGGCCTAGGTCCTTGCTAATGTTTTAACAGCTTTTGGTTACGGTCTATTCGGGCTCTTATGTCATCTATTATCATCTGTGTTTACTTTCCTCAGTTCCTCTGAAGGTTTCATGTCCTGCTTCGTCAACCCACCTCTCTACACCAGAGGCTTGGCAAACCTTTTCTGTGAAGGGCCAGATAGGGAATATTTTTGGCTTTTTGAGAAGCTTTACAGTCTCTGTGGAAGCCATTCAACCCTGCAGCCACGGCTCATAAGCTGCTGTGGACAATACATCAGCAAATGGGTGTGGCTGTGTTCCGATAAAACTTTACTGGGAGACGCTGGAATTTGAATTTCACAATCTTCGTTTCCATACTCAGTCTTTGTAATCTGCTGTGCATTCCACACTCATGGCACATCTCAGTTAAGACTCACCTGTGCTGACACAGGGCATAGCCACGTGTGGCTGGGGCAGACGCAGCAGAGGTCAGGCCGACCCTGGCAGCCAGTCGGCTGCACCAGTACCTGCGGGTCCAGCTCCCTCCTGCCGCGCTCGGCACCCTCCCACCCTGGCAGACCAGATGGCCACCCCTGCCCCCACCCCGGGTGCCATTAAGTGGGCTTTCCCCTGATGCAGTGAGTGCCTGTGGGGTCCAGTCTGTGAGTGCCCCCTGCTCCCCGCCTCGCACTGGGTGCTGGACACAGGGGCCGCAGGCAGGCTCCCCTCAGGAGCACTGGGCAGGTGCTGGCCGGCTGCCTGCTGTTCCCGAGCACTGTGCTGGGGAGCATGGAGAGGAGGGGAGGGAGGGAGCAGCAGAAGGCGAAGCCAGTGCCCGCCCTCCACCCATGGTTTGCCTCCACCGGAACCCAGGAGGCTTCAGGCGGCTCTGGGCTCCAGGGCGGGCAGCCCCTCTGCTCTGGACTGGATGGGCTGGCAGGACCTTGAGAGGACGTCAGGCCCAGAGGCTGAGGTTGAGCCCCTGGGCCTAGCCGGGAGAAGTCCATTTCTAGTGAACAGCCAAGCCTGTGCTCTGTGTGTTGATACTTAAAGACGCCACCTGCCAAGCCAGGGTGACCCCTCACAGACCGGAAGGTGGAGGCCCCCACAGCCCACCAGACTCGACACCTGCTGTGCTGCCCTGAGCCCACCCTGTACCCAGCACTGCGAGGAGGTTCTGCTTTGACCCAAGTTTCAACCTCCCCGCTGGGGGTTCCCAATCTGGAGCGAGTCCCAGAAGCGTGAGGAAGAAATCTCCTCAATTTCTCCAGCTCTTACACTGTCTCCTACCTTTAAAGACACCAGATCATGCTTTGGGAGAAAAAAATCCAACTGGCAAAAGAGATGCGCGCCTCGGTGGATTCTGAGACCAGCCAGACGGAGATCAGAGCCATGAAGGCTGAGATCCACAGGATGAAGGTGGGTGGGAGGGAGCAGCACGGAGGGCAGGGTGGGGGCGCCTGGTCACGTCGGGGCTGGCCTGGGTCAGCTCCGGCCCTTGTGGGATCCACACGGGCCACGCTGGCCAGCAGCATGGACGCAGTTCCCAGGGGACAGTGAGGGTCATCTTCAGGCACTGCAACAATCGGGGGCCTCCCAGGACACACACAGCTGTGTGGGTGACACTCAACGCGACACCATTTTAGCCTTGCTTCAGCAGCCAGTGCCCTCTAACACATTTCAGGGCTGGCTGTGTCCCCCAAATCTCACGACCCACCAGCGAGATGCATCCCACTTGACTGGACAGAATCTCACTCAGCAAAGGGCCAAAGACACCCCCTTTCCCTCGGGGCCATGTGTCCTCACCACTGTCATCTTTGGCTGGTTTTCATCATCTTAAAAAGGCCTGGTAATTAAATCCCAGGCTATCATGGAGCCCAAGGTTCAGGCCTTAAGGATACAAATAGAAGCAGATAATAAATACAACTCAACACCACTTCTACAGTGCCGTTTTCAGTAACGGCCCCTCTGGCTGAGTTAGGGAAGAATTCTGGTCACCTGCATTTGCTACTGGTAAGCTTAAAAACCCTCCCTTTAAGTGGCTTCTCAAACCATAGAAGACATGCATGCCTGTTGGCTGCAGCAGGTCACCCCCGCCCCTCTGCTGGCAGACCCGGGGTCCCTCTCCCTCCCCCAGGTTGTTGGTGATTTTATTCCTTAACGAAAATAGTACATACAACTGTACATACAATTTAGCAACTCACTTAAAAACAATAATATGGACATTAACGTATTCTTTAATAGCTACAGAATATAGTTTGGATATATCACAACTTACTGAAACATTCCCAGGTTGATGAAAATGCAGGTGGCTGTTTCGTCAATGTAAACGTTATAGTAACACCCTTACTACGGGTGTGTGTGTGGTTTCTGTAGGCTAGATCCCCAGAAATTCAACTACTGGGTCAAAGAGTATGAAAATTCTTGACTCTACAAGTCCGACGCATTTCTTTTCCTGAGAGTACTGTGTCCCCACAGCCCCGGCAGTCCTGGGTGTTATCCCAAAACCAGCCCTTATTTTTAAATTGAAGTATTAGTTGAGTAAAAGCTCACCCTTTGTGGTACGCAGTCCTGAGTTATGACAGACTTACAATCATGCAGCCACCACCACTTCCTGGCAGGAAGTATTTCCCCCCTCCTCACATCACCTCGCATCCCAGTGTGAGCCCTGCCGCACCCCAGTCCCCGCCAGTGCTACATGGTTCCCGTTCCCGGAGTTTCGGCTTTTCCAGAAGGGTGCATAAATACATCTCTGCATGAAGCATTTTGAGACCAGCTTTTCTCACTTGCCATGCGACTGCAGTTGCGACTTGTTGTATTGGCCACGTCCAGTCAACCCCTTGGTTCATGGTGGGCCGTGTTGGTGAAGCCTCTGAGAAATCTTCGCGTAGCCCAAGGCCACAAAGATTTTCTCTTATGTTTCCTTCTAGAAGCTTCATACCTTTAGGCTCTCCATGAAAGTCCATGGCCTGTTTTAAGTTGATTTTTGTATTTGGTTCCAGTGGTGACGGGTTAATTTTGTATCAGATGTCCTGCTGTTTCAGCCCCACTTAGTGGAAAGACTATCCTTTGCCCCCTGAACGCCGCCATGCCCTTGTGGAAATCAGCTGACTGCATTTGCATGAGTCTGTTTCTCTGCTGTGTTCCGTGGTCCTTGTGCCTGACCCACCCCAAGTCCCACACTGTCTTGATTTCTGGAGTTCCATACTTATGTGGTGCCTCCAGCATTGTTCTTTTCCAAAATTGTTTTGTCTATTCTATATCTTTTGCCTTTCCATAAAAATTTGAGAATCTGCTCGTCAATTTCTACAGAAATCCCTGCTGGGATCATGACTGGGATTGCCCTGAATCTGCAGAGCAGATTAAAGAGAACTGACATCTCCACATCACTGGGTTTTCTAACCCAGGAGCTCTAATGTGTTGCTCTCCATTTATTTAGGTCTTGTTTGACTTCTCAGTGTTTCTCATTTTCAGCATCCGGATCTTACACATGTTTTGTTAGACTTATGCCTAAGTATTTCCTGTTTTCTGGTGCTATTGTAAATGGTCATTTTTAATTTCCCATTTCCAATTCCTCATTGTTAGTATGCAGAAACACAACTGGCCTTGCATATTGGCTTTGTTCTGTGATTTTGCTAAACGCACTCATTTGTTTATCAGCTTTAGAGTACCTGACTATCCACCAGTGAAAATGGATTTCTCAGCATTATGTGAATTTGGTTGCTGGCTTACCAGTGGGGCACTGGGCAGCGTGTGTGCGCGCGCGCGCACTGGCATTTACTCAATTTCTTACTACTGTTTTCTTATTTGTGAATTTAAGGAGCTCATTGCATTGCGGGGTCAGTAGCCCCTGTCTAAGTGCCCATTCTGGGTGCTTCTCTCTAGCCGTTTGCCGGTACGCTGACCTTGGCTCTGGGTGGGTCCTTCTGCACTTAGAATGCTCCAGCATTCGCACTGTGTGGTCTCTACCCTTTTTCTGCACGGCTTCTGGGCTTCCCGTACTGCTCAAGAAGGTCAGCGCTGCTTGAAGTTGCACAAATCTATTCCTAAGTTCTTTTCAATTGTTTGTACATACTTAGATCTTGACTCCATCCGGGATTTATCTTTGGTTATGGTGTGAGATAGAGGTCCGTGTCCATCTTCTCTCAGCTGGGGAGGGAGTTCCAGCAACAGCCTGCATGCAAACAGCGCCCCCTCGCCGAACTGAGGGCCGCGTGGATCACAGAAGCTGTGGTCATCCCGGGCCTCCGCTCAGCGCAACCATCGCTTTGACAAGCTGTGCGCCAATGCACAGAATCTGGTTATTGTCACTGGTCAGTGTCAAACTGGCTGGGCTAGGCCTTCCACCACCAGTCTGAACTTAACTTGGGGAGTCTTGCCTGTTTTTCCTTTTTTGTTTTAAATCAACTTTATGGAGGTATGACTCACATACAATAACACGTACTTTAAATGGCCAGTGCAAGAGTTTTGACACAGGTACATGTCTAGGCAACCACCACCGCCATAGAGACATAGAACGCCTACACTCCAGAAAGTTCTCTTGAGCTTTACCATCGATCTCCCACTACAACCCAATCCCCAGCCCAGATTCCAGAGACCCTGCATGTTACCATCTCACAAAACCATGGTGCCTTTATCCCGGCTCAGCAATTAAGCTTGGTACAGTATGGTCAGCTGGGCCACAAACTCCCAACCAGACTTCCCCATTCTTTTGGCTAATGTCCCCTCTGCTCCAGAGCCCAGTCCCAGGCTGGACACCACAGCCCTCCACCCCCAACTCCCCTTGCCCCCCACAATTCCTCGGCATGTCCCTGCTGCCTGCGTGTCCTGAGGTGCGTGTCCTTATTCTGACCAGTAGACAACGCCTCCCAGCACCCCCATCTGTGAACCCAGGTCAGGCATGGGCAGCTGCTGAAGCAGCAGGAGAGGATGATCCGCGACATGGAGCTGGCCGTCGCCCGCAGAGAGACCATCTCGACCCGAGCTGAGGGGCAGTGCAAGCTGGACAAGAAACTGCTCACACGGACAGACTTCCACTACAAGCAGATAGAGCTTCAGCGAAAAATCAGAGAGACCCACAAGGTAGGGGAGCTGTGGGACACAGGCTGGTGTCTCCGCAAGCACTCGGTCACCATGTCCCGCGGCCAGCTTGCCATGAATGCCTCCCACCCTACTCACGCCATGGCCTCTGCTTCTGCCCCCACCCTGGACTGGAGTCAGCTGCAGGAGACGGAAGTGACAGTGGGCATCTGGGGAGAGGGGATGGCAACCTAACAAGCCAGCCCGCTCTTATGCCGGGGACAAAAGCTGCTGCCCCTCCGTGGGAGCCTCCGCCCCTCATGCTGGTTCTGGGTAGAGATGCAGTGGCTGCTGGCCGCCCCTGAGGTCAGCAGGTGCTTCCCAGGTACCCGCCCACTCTGCTGTGCCGGCCTTTCTCTGGGAGCTTGCCTTCGGTTTGACAGAAGGCCCACCCTGCGAGCTCAGGGCTGCACTGGCCGCAGGTCAGCCCTTCCCGTGAAAGAGGAGGGCATCAGAAGCATGGTGAAGGGAGTGAGCCCAGGTCCCTGACCCCCGGGGTGCTGGGGATGGGCTGATGGGAACTTGGAGAGCACCCACTTAAGCCCCATCCCAGGCCACTTTGATGGAGCAGGTGGTATGGCCCTTCTCATCTCTGCCAACCTCATGGCGACGGAGCCCAGGGATGCCTCCTGAAGCACGGGTCCCGCTGAGACTCTGCAGAGGGAACCCCACCCTGCTGCCAGCCATCTGCACTCCCACCCTCTCCAGTCCACGTCCCCAGCCCGTAAGGCCTGGACTCCTGCCCCCACCCTTGGCACAAAGCCGTCCAGCTGCCCCTGGTCCCCCTACCCTTGCAGGAGGACAACCACCATAACTGCCCAGGCCCCCCATTTCTTTCTCCAACCCATGCCTGCCTTTGGGCAGCAGTCTTCAGGTCAGAGTTCCCGAGAGGCAAGGACTCTCTCCATCCTTTGGGGATCCTCCCTGGACAGTGCACTTGGAAGGCTCTCGGCAGGTCCTTCCAGGCCAACTCTTTCCTGTCCACCGAATCACCGGGAGACAGGGTCCCAGGATGATGCTGTCTGTCTCCTAGGCTACCGAGGAGTGCACCCAGGCCATCGCGGAACTGGAAGAAACTCAGAAATGTGTAAGCAGCTCCCTCCTGGAGAAGCAGGGACAGCTGTCAACGATGCAGTCCGATGCCGACGAGCTCGGGGCCAACCTGGACCGGCTCGTGGCCCTCAAGAGACAGGTAGGCCAGTTGCCAGGGCCCCAGGGCCACAGAGCCGGGCAGTGGGGTCTGCACCTTGCAGCCGCAGTTGGCAAGTCCTCAGGCAAGGCCTTCTCCCCACCCGGTGAAGCCCAGACTGGTCACAGCAGTGGGCTGTGACCGTCCCTTCATCTCTATTATCTAAAAATCTACAACAACACATAATGGTGTCTCCATCTTTTACGGGCCGGGCACTGTCCTGGGTGCTGGGGCTACAGAGTAGGACACAAAAGATGATGGTCCCTGCCCTCCTGGGGGTCACATTCTAGGGGCCAGAGGACAGGTGATCAAAGATATACCGGATGTCAGATGGTGGTAGATACTCTGGCAGGGACTAAAGCAGAGGAGGGGGTGCCGGGGAGCGATGGGGCCTGCACTGCCAGGTAGGCAGGCCCAGGAAGGTCACGTGAAGGAAACGACATTTGAACCAAGACCTGGAGGCTGTGAGGGAGCCTCAGGTGGAGGGCGCAGCTGGAGGCTGAGGCCAGCAGAGTGGACGTGCCTGGGCCCCCCTGAGCTCCGCCCCCAGCTCTTCTCTCAGGGACACAGGAGACAGTGGGGTTGGGAGCTGAGGGGAGGCCTGGGTGCCGCAGGACCACTCCGGCTCTGATGAGGACATAGGGCACCTGCTTGGGCCATGAAGGTACCTAAGGAGGACAGTGACGCCCAGACCAGGGCGGGAGCCACGAGGCCAGTGAGAAGCTATCAGATTCTGCACGGGATTTCCAGGTCTCCCCAGCGGAACTTACTGAGCTGGATGTGGTGTGGGCAGCAGAGAGGGCCAACGGGACTTCGGGGTCTGGGCCTGATCCGCAGAGACCCAGCCGCTGTGGGAAGTGTGTGGCCCACCCCCCTTCCCCCCAGCACGTGGCAGGGTCTCAGATAATGGAGGAAGGAAAAGGCCCCACCCTGCCTATCAGCCTCTCCCACTCGATTTGGGGAACCTTTGCCTGCAGCATTTCATGGAGTACAAGTTTGTGGGGGGGAGCCCGTGGGTGTCCTTTTTTAAATTTGCATAGCCTGACGCGGTGTCTCCTGACCCACCCAGAGCCTTTCGCAGCTCGTGGCCCTGCAGACGCGCCTGAAGCACCTCCAGGCTGTGAAGGACGGGAGGTACGTGCTCCTGTTCCGCTCCAGGGAGTCGCTGCTGGCCGAGCAGCAGCGCCTAGATGACCGGCTGGCCGCCATCGGCACCATCCTGGAGCGCGTGAGGGTCGGGTATCCCCAGTTCCAGGAGGCCCTGCTCAAGGTCAGCCAGACAATTGCCAACAAACTGGAGTCCTCTGGGTCCTCCTAGGGAGCCTGCACCCCACCTTCCAAGGCTGCCTTGTGGGGGAGATAATACAATTTTGTATGTTATCAGGGACTTGGAATCTTTTTGTGTCACCGAAAGCCATGTCTGCTCTCAGAGAACGGTGCTGTCCGAGAGCTGTCAGGAAGCCAGCACTGCAGGAACTTTTTTAGCCACCCAGCAGCTCAGTCAAGTCAAATCCCAGCGTTTCCTCTGAGCCCACCATTCGCGCTGGGCGTACAAACCTCTATTCCCACAGAAACTTGGGTTTGTGGAGGCCCCCACTTCCCACATGTGAGTGGTCACTAGGGAACAACGTGTCTCCTCGTGACGGTACACTGGGTCCAGTTCAGAACCTTGGGTGAGTAAGGGACCCCCAAAAAGTCAGAGTACGACGGCAAGCCTGGCCTCTGCCTCTGCGGGGTGCACTGAACACCCGCCTCCCACCTCGTTACCGGCAGCTTTCCTGTTCCCACCTGGGATAGTCCGCCCCTTCTCCTGCCGCTCCCAGTCTGGGTTAAATCCAGATTCACAGCTTGCAGGAGGAAGTCCAGGGGGGTGCGAACCCAGGGGCTGCGTTTTTGGAAGCTGGGACCACCGAACACCGGGACCGCCTCCTGGGTCTGCCCGCTTGCGGCCCCTCCATCGTCCCCCCAGCGCCCCTCCCACACCTGATTCCTGAGCACCTGCTACCTTGCGGCCTCTCTGCAGAGCTAGGAAAACTATCCCACCGAATAATTTCACTTTCAGACTTTTCAGCAGAAAAATAAAAGTTGTTTTCTGAACATGGGAGAAAGGTGAATTTATTCTGAAACATTTCAGAAATACAAAAGCCATAAAGCAGTGGGGACCCCGAGTCCCCGCAAGCCGGGCACCGTGGTGCCCACCCTGCCGGGGCCCCTTCCAGGCTTTCCTGCGGGGCCGCCGCGGGGCAGGTTCGCGCCGGCTTCGGCTTTCCTGCTTGCCTTGGAAAAGCCGGCTCACCTTAGCGTACGCGTTTCCTCCCGGCAGCAAAGGCTGCCTGCGACTGCCCTGCAACGTCTTGAAACCAGCCGGCTTTGCGGGCGATGACAGTGCTTCCCTTTTCGGAGCGCGGCTCAGCGCCGGGCGACCGTGAACACGGGCGCGTCCTCCAGGCTGGGCCTGCGCTCAGGGAGCCGGCAGCCGGAGGCGAGGGCGGGGCAGGGCGCTGCCGCGGGGGGCGTGGCCTCCCCGCCCAGGGGGCAAACGGCGTGGGGCAAGCGCAGGCCGCGCCTCTCTCCCCGGCAGCTCCTCGCCGCGGCGCCACCAGGGGGCGCGCGCCCCGCCCAGGGCGCCTGCGCGGGCTGCCTGTCACGTGGCCGCCGCCGGGGTCTGCGCTGCGGCCGTGCGCGCGTGCGCGGAGGTGAGCGCCGGGAGGGCCGGGTCCGCGGTGCCCCCAGCGCAGCCCCTACGGCAAGGCTGGTCGGGTCGGGGCAGCCGTGACGCCCGAGGTGGATGGATCGATGGGTGGACCGGCGGTCAGCGGTCAGGGTCCGCGCGCGGGGACAGCCCGACGGGGACCAGGGGCGCCCACGGCTCTCGGTGGCCGCCCCCGGTGTGGTTGGGGAAGGCTGTGCTTCACACGGGGGAAACTGAGGCACCGGAGGCTAACGACGCCGGGTTCCCGGCGGGGAGCTGCGCTGTTCCCACTGGGCGCGACAGGCTCTCTGGTCAGCAGACCGCTGGGCCGCCTGACCTTCAGCTCTTCCCCATTTGCTCGCTAACTGCCCAGCCCTGCCGTGCGGGCCCCCGGTTCTCTTCCCCCCTTGTCCGAGAAGCGGAGTCCGCAGCAGGGGTGGTGCGGCCCCCCAGCCCCAACTACCCCCGCGCCCTCTGAGCTCTGCGCAGGAGGCCCAAGTCCTCCGATCACTAGGTGTCCTGTGTCTGCCAGGGTCAGGTGGGGCTGGGACGCATCCCGCTATGAAAACCTCTGCCCCAGTCCTGCACACAGCTGCTAAAAGCCCTGGACTGGGGGTGAGGATGGCCTTTATAGGCTACACCTGGCCGACTTGTGGCAGGGGCCTCTAGAGAGCTTCGGGGTGGGCGCTGGGGAGCGCAGAGGCTGGACCCGGTAATCACCAGTGGCCAGAGATTCAGTCCATCCTGCCCTAAACCAGTTGGGGTTTGGAGAGGCCCCCGCTGGGGAACATTGCGGTGGAAGGAGGCATCATGCCGGCCAGGTACCCTGCCCTCTGGCTTGGTTCTGTGAGTTGTAGCCAATTATTTAATCTGGGAGGGGGGGGGGGGGGGGGGGCAAATCCTCCGATATGAGCCGATTGGTCACAGTTGTTGGTGACAACCTGGGACTTGGCGACCGGCTTCTGAAGTTTGAGTTGTCATGTGGGGCTGAGCCTTACTTAACCTGTGGGGTCCCGGAAGCTCATGTCAGCGTTGATTTGAACTGCTGGACACCCAGCTGGTGTCCAGTCAGTTACTGTGAGAAAAAATCCCACACATTTGAGGTCAGCAGTGTTGTGAATAAAAAGTTGGCTTTTGTACCTAATTTACCAGTGACCCCCGGGGCCAGAATGTTCCAGGTGGGCTGTGTGTGTCTGTGATGGCCCCGGCTCCCCTGCACCCAGGCCCACTCCCACCGGCTGTGTGGCTTTTTCCCAGTATTTGCGTGTGTCTAAGACCTCCCTCCACAGGGAGCTTCCTTGACAGAGGGCTCAGCCACTGTGCCCTGACACCCATGGGGGCATCTGCTCCCAGCCTGTGACACTAGGGCAGGCCGCTTCCGGGAGGCCCTGACCCTCTGACGGCCAAGGATGACCCCCTGAGCCCTGTGGCCTTGCCAGACCTCCCCTAGCCTGCAGGGACTCCTGGACCCTACCACCTCCATGGGCCAGCCTTCCCTGGCAACCTCCCTGTGTTCTCTCAAACAGATAAAAGGGCTCCCCTAATACAGGCCTTTGCATCGAGCCCACACTGTCTGCCGCTCAGAGGAGGAGCACGCACTCCCAGTCCACCCCAATGGTCAAGACTAAACAGCCCTGCCTGGTTTTACAGAACTGGGGCTTACTCTGCTGCTGTGACCTCCTGTCCACTCGTCAGCCTACCACACTGGCCTTTGTGTCCTTAAATCATTTTCATAGATACTCTAACTGCATTCATCCGTAATATTTCGGAAGACGTCATGGTGCACGGTACTCTGCAGCCTCTGATTTGGGGCTTGCAAACTCCTTGCGCTTTTTCCTCCATCCCTCATGTCTGTCTGACAAGTACGGGGACTGCGTCCATCCCCGTCTGCTCTGCTTCCTCATCGACCCCACCTCAGCCCTGGGCACTGCTGGGCCCACTTGTCACAAGCCCATGTCTGGAAGCTGCTTTGCAAGTCCCAGCCGCTCCCTCCATCCTTCCCTTGAGCCTGGTTCTTCTCTCAGCAGGCCGCCAGGACCTGCAGGTGCCACCGGCCATGGACGTGAGATGGCTGCCCTGCTCCCGCCCCCTGCTCGGGGTCTGCGCCCTCCTCTCCTTGGTCACTGCTGCCCTCCTGGGGCACGTCCTGCTGCACACTATCTCGGTGGTTCCCCGGGAGGTGCACCGTTTCTCCCCAGAACCCGAGGGGATTCACCGAGCTCGCCAGCAGGGATCCGGCAGCCCAGGACTCCGGCCCACCCCAGGGCACCGTGGCAATCCCACAGCAGCACCCACACACTGTGATGTGTCCCCGGGCAGCCGCTTCGACTGTGCCCCAGACAAGGCCATCACCCGGGAGCAGTGTGAAGCCCGGGGCTGCTGCTATGTGCCTGCCAGGCAGTGGCCTCAGGGTTCCCGGATGGGGCAGCCCTGGTGCTTCTACCCACCCAGCTACCCGAGTTACAGGCTGGAGAACCTGACCACCACAGACACAGGCTACACGGCAACCCTGACCCGAGCCACTCCCACCTTCTTCCCCAAGGACATCCTGACCCTGCGGCTGGACGTGCTGGTGGAGACCGAGAGCCGACTGCACTTCACGGTGGGCGGGCCATGCCAGGCTCCTGCGAGCCGGCCTGGGTCTGACATATTCCCTGCTGTGTCCTAGCCCGGAACAGTGTCTGGCACATAGCAGGTGCCCAGGAAAAACTTGTGGATGGAATTAGCAGGGATGCAAAGCTGAGAGGGCCAAGGTGCATGATGCACTGTGGCCATGTTACTTTCATGGCGGTTCATAATTCCCACCCTTCACTGAGTCGCTCCTGTGTGCCAGCCTGGAGCCGGACACCCTGGTTATGCCTCCCATTCCCCCGTGACCACATGCCAGGCAGAGCTACATTGCCAGATTCAGCAAATAGAAATACAGGATGCCTAATACATTTGAATTCCAGACAACCAAGGAAAAGTTCATTTTTTTAGTGTATGTCCCATGCAGCATCTGAGACATACTAAAAAGTATTTGTCATCTGAAATTCAGATTTACTGGGTGTTCTGTATTATTCCTGGCAAAGCACAGCAGTGCGGCTCTCTTGGCTCTGTACGTGAGGAAACGGGCTCTGGAAGGCTGACCCAACTGCCCACACTTGCCCCTCGCTGGGGCTGAACAGAACCATGGCCCTGATGGGGAGGAAGAGGTGGGAAGGGACGGCTGAGGGCCACTGATGGCATGACGCCACCGTCTCTCATCTCTAGATCAAAGACCCTGTCAACAAGCGCTACGAAGTGCCCTTGGCGACCCCGCATGTCCGCAGCCAGGCACCGCCCCCACTCTACAGCGTGGAGTTCTCCAAGGAACCCTTCGGGGTGGTCGTGCGCCGGAAGCTGGGCGGACGGGTGCTGTGAGTGCCGGACAAATCATTTTGACCCCATTGTCCCTGACCACACTGCCCCTCCAGCCTCCTCTCTGCTGCTGGCCTGCCCAGGCCCCGGTGCTCCCTGTCGCCTCTGCCGGGAGCCCTCCAGATCTGCCCCCGTCCCCTGCCTGGGTCTCCCAGAGCCCCTCCTCTATGTCCAGCCCAGGAAGCCCAGCCGGAGGCCTTCCCCCAGGGGACACTGGCTGTGGCTGGAGACACTGTTGGTCGCCACCACTGGGGTGGTGTGTTCCTGGCAATCTCGGAGAGGAGCCCAGGGTTGCTGCCCAACACCCCACAACCCCCCTACAGAGAGTCAGCACTGCCCTGGCCAAGGCCAGCTCCAGGCCGACACAGCCCCACCCCCACTGGGTGGCACCTTGTGGCCCGCTGTACTTCTATTCACTTATCAAATGCTGCAGATGGCTTATTACACTGCAATTACTAACGTGGCTGATCCCCATAATGATTCTTACTGGTGCTCTTATTGTCCCCACTTCACCGATGGGGAAACTGAGGCACAGAGGCGCGGGTGGCTTGCTGGCAAGTGACAGCCAGGGCCCCAGCATCCTGAGGCTGTGCTGCTGCTGGCCATTCTCTGCTCCGTGTCCCTCCAGGGCCCATGTCCCCCACGGGATCTGTGGTTTGAATCATTGTCCCTGCTGCCATCTGCCCGCGACAGGGAGGTCACTCGGCCGGTTCTCTGTAGGTCACACTCTTGCCCCAAGGGAAGTATCGCCCTCGCCTCCCCTCCAGGCATTGGATGCCCCGAGGCATCCTGGAATCCACTTTAGACTCAGATGTCCTGGCTGTGACTCGAGTGTCCAGCACATCCCCTCCTCCAGGGGACAGACCTGTGGGCCAGCGTGCGGCCTCCCAGCCATCGGATGGAGCAGGGCCTGCCCCCTCGAGAGTCAGCTGCTCTGCCCTGATGCTGGGTCATGAAAGCACACTTTCCCTTGT